TTTTTTGGCCACAGGAACGTGCGCAACTCGTGTTATATTAGTGGTCATGACGACCGGTGCAAGTACCATAATAACCCGGCCAAACAGTTAAGTTATGGTTCGAAAAGCATATATTGGAGTATGTCACAGAGAAAAATGGCGAACGAAGGTCCAAACCTGGTCCCAGAACCGGCCAGAAAACCCTAAAATAGCAATGAGATAACGAAGCTGCTGAGCAGCCAATTTGATGGGCAATTCCACACAGTGAATCATCCACTACCAACGTCCAGTAATGTAACAAAGCTCCGTGACTGAGATACAAACTTGATAAACGCAAAGATTTTGTCTCCGGGTTGTCATGACATAAAACCGTTGCCCTGGGCAAATGTGGCCAGGTGCTGAACGTATCCTTGTACAATATGTTTTGCACACTCGTTGGAAGTGGGCCAACTCCCCAAAGAACGGAAACTTGCCATCCTTTCACCAATCTCCGAGAGGAAAGACCGGAAAATCCTGTGCAGGTACTCACCCATTTCATTACATCCAATGCTATCCAAGGTACTGGAAAGCCTGGCCGCAGATTTTCGGAAACCTACCACTCACTATCTATCTACTTGATACACTCACACTACCTACTAATTCTTCTCTAGAAAATAGACCTACGCTATCCACTTTTGCCATTCGGGCAATTCCCATACACATTTTTCTCCCTTTTATTTCTCTTACTTACCCCGATCCTTTTTTCTTTCTCTTTCTTATTCCTTTTCTCTTTCTTTACTTTCTTTTTTCTTCTTCATTCTTTGCATTATCTACCACTATCTTACTATTATCTTTCTGGGACCTACACAGACAGGAGTCACGCAGGTTCCAGGCGTTGATTACTCGACGCGAGAACCAGTACCCTGTAGAGACTATGTTCGTTCTTTGCTTTTGTAGCTTCCTGTTATGTCCTCTGAGGTGTTCTGACCTGATGGGAAGGACAAGGGAAGACAGATCAGGTCTCAAGTCATTTCTTAGAATCCTTAGTAGCATGATGAAGTAGGGAGGGAGCTAGGAGAAATGAGCTGCTTTGCACAAGCTCGTAGTGGGATATTAGACATTACATATATGATTGCCTTCTCCCACCAAAGCTGGAAACTGAAACTGACATAACCCCTGATTTTTATTATAATTATTATTCCTTTGGGTTCCTAGTGATAATAGAGGTTCAGTAGCACGTCCCCATTGAACTCTGCTCTCTTCAGTCTTTTGAACCTGGCACCACGACTGCCTACAAGCTTTCATTTCCTCCTCACACGATCGCCTCCATGTCACCCTTGAACGCCCAACTCGACCTAACCCCTGAAGGTACTTTGAATTGCCCTGAAGGTCACTTTGTCACATTGTATTATTGTGGCGATAATTTAAGCTTGACGTGTCAAGGTGGTATGACGCGTAAAGGCACTGCCAAACTAGAGGAACTTCGTAAGATTGAAACCCAGATCCAGGCATTTTGGGAATCACAGAAGATATTTGAAGCAGATGCTCCCTATGGAAATAGTGAAAGGTATCATGTCAGATATTGTCATATTTCAGTGTCGAAAAATACTTTGTCACTTTTCCTTATCCGTATATGAATGGAAGGTTGCATCTAGGTCACACATTCTCCTTATCTAAATGCGAGGTATGGTACGAATTATTCTTCACTGTGTAAAGTTTTCCATAGGTTATGAACGTCTAAAAGGAAAACTAGCAGTTTGGCCATTTGGTCTTCATTGTACTGGCACACCTATCTTAGCATCAGCAGACAAATTAGCACGTGAGTGCGAAGAATTTGGGTATCCACCTGTATTTCCACCTGAAACTTCCGATGCGCCTGTTGAGGCTGAAGCGGGGGTAAAAATCATAACTCTTGGGAATTTTTCAGGTATCTGGCCACGGTAAAAGTAAAAAGAGCAAAGCCGTTGCGAAAAGTGGCAGTGTAAAGTACCAGTGGCAGATAATGAAATGTATTGGCCTGGATGATGATGAGATATTGAAGTTCAAAGATCCAAGGCACTGGTTATCGTATTTCCCATCCATGGCTATCGAGGATTTGCGAAAATTAGGTGTTAAGGTGAGCACTAATTAGTCTCCAAATATACTATTTGCATATTGTATGTTTTTAGCTAACTCTGATTTCACTGAGTTTTCATGTTTGGTCCCATTCATTTTAGTTCTGTGTATTTTGAGTAGATGTATTTGCTCATATATAGCTCTCCCAAATATCGATAACGCAGTTGTTACCTTTCAGTTCATAAATGTGTCCACAATTTAAATCCTGGTTATCTATCATCTAGGTAAAGCACCTGCTAAATTGATCCAATGGTTTTTCTTACTGACGGTTCTTTTTTATTGTTGATTTGAGTCAAGTATCTTAGTCCAGTCCATCAAGCAAAGTTTAGGTAACAGGTTAACAAATCAAAATGTGTACGCAGTGTCGTTTTCTCTTTACATAGGAGTGTATCAAGTATATTACAGGGTTATACAACTTCACGGGTTTTTGTACTTTCTTTCACAAGGCGAAGAATGCACTTATTATGTGACAGCTTGTAATAAGCGTAGTTACCGTCTCCGCGGTACGGTAGGTAAATCACTCCGCGCAGGGAGCCTGAAGGAGATGCTCTCCACCACGCAAAAGCTACCAGCATCCTCGAATAAAGTAGGGTTAACACCAAAGGATAACACAGAGAGACCTGGAAACAGACCTAGAGCTCCAGCTGTGGGCACGCCACCTCGCGTGGGGACCATATTAGGTCAAGTCTCCATACCTCCTACCCGGCCCCAGGGGACGTCAAGTGCATGGCAAAAGACATCGACCGCCGAACCCTCTACGAAACCCATTCCAAACACCCCACACACCGTGACTGAGAAACAACCAGTGGAATTACTCAAACCCACTGAGAAGTCGGGCGTGCCACCCACAACGAACCCAGGTCACAGGAGGACCAACTCGATCATTTTGTTCAACGTCGATGTATCGACAGACTCATTGTTGGTCGAGAGGGAACAATTTGACAACCGAATGTGGACCGACTACTGTCAGATGCTGGGACTCCCTCCCCTCCCTGCAACTTTATGTCGCCTTTCTCGAGGGAGCCGGGCGCCCCGAGATAAACCACCCCCTTTACGTGTGTCCCTAAATACCGCCAAAGAGGCTGAAGACACAGTCCTTTTCTCGCGACAACCGGACGTTGTTACTGCCTGTAAAATTCGGGCCAGGCCTGACAAGCCATGGTCAATAAGAGAGGAGGAGAGAAAGTCAGCGGTTGGAAATCCCAACAGAAACAACACTATAGTTGTACATAGGATTCCAGAATTGCCAAGTGACCGCTAGGTTAAAGATCGGTACTTTCACGACGTCCAACAATGGCAATGGCTCTCAACCAAAGCTGGTCTTGATAGTATACCGGCCAACAGCGTCAGTAGACTGCCAAGGCCAGCGCACCTGAAGACCATACCCAATCCCAGACTACTCGCCGTCCAGTTTGACGCATATGCCTCCCTCACAGACGTTCTGCACGCATGGTATAATGCGAAAGATCTCATGGGTGGCTCAATACGTATATGTGAAAGTAATCCTAGACCCAGAAGGCAAGAGGAGAGACGGCAACCACCAAGACCTCTGGAGTCAGTGGTCGTCACACAGGCACTGACCAGTGAGTTAGATACATCGAGTAAAGAAGCCACCACTGCTACAGCCCCCACCCAAGTTGAAAACAAAACAGAAGAAACGGAACAATGCCAGTCTTATGAAGACTGGTGACGCTAAACCCAACCACGTAAGCACTTATCACGCGAAATGCACAACCAGGCCTCCCCTTTCACCAGGCACACTCTAATATGTATGTACAGCAACGTTGAGGGGTTAAGAGGGGAGGTAGCAGAAATGAGGACGCTGCGTGAATATCAGCACTACGACATCATATTCATCACTGAATCCTGGCTCTCATCGGACATCTCCGGCAAAGAGATGCGTGTTGCTGGCATGGAACTCTTCCACAGGGACAGGGAACATAGAGCAGGAGGGGGAGTGGCTATCTACGTGAACTCCTGTTTAAAGGCAAGGATGGTTAGCGATACGGCCTTAACCCAGCTCCCAGAGTCTCTATGGTGCTACTTCACTCACTTCTTTATTCTCTCTTCATTCCTTTACCACTACCTTACTATTCTCTTCCAGGTACCTACACAGACAGGAGTCATAGCAGTTCTCTAAACTTCCCAGCAACCCGTAGCTCCCTAATCACTCTACAAATTACAACCTACTAACCCACAAAACATCCACCTCACCGAAGCTAAAAACAAGAAAGCAGAGGGTATTTCCTCGTCCACTGCAGGAGTAAACCGAACAGCTGGAACCAAGCCCTAAGAACTAGACGCGAGAGATCAAAAACTACCAGTTTTCTACGCTCGCACTATCAATATTGGATATTGGATATTGGAAGGTACTTTGAATTGCCCTGAAGGTCACTTTGTCACATTGTATTATTGTGGCGATAATTTAAGCTTGACGTGTCAAGGTGGTATGACGCGTAAAGGCACTGCCAAACTAGAGGAACTTCGTAAGATTGAAACCCAGATCCAGGCATTTTGGGAATCACAGAAGATATTTGAAGCAGATGCTCCCTATGGAAATAGTGAAAGGTATCATGTCAGATATTGTCATATTTCAGTGTCGAAAAATACTTTGTCACTTTTCCTTATCCGTATATGAATGGAAGGTTGCATCTAGGTCACACATTCTCCTTATCTAAATGCGAGGTATGGTACGAATTATTCTTCACTGTGTAAAGTTTTCCATAGGTTATGAACGTCTAAAAGGAAAACTAGCAGTTTGGCCATTTGGTCTTCATTGTACTGGCACACCTATCTTAGCATCAGCAGACAAATTAGCACGTGAGTGCGAAGAATTTGGGTATCCACCTGTATTTCCACCTGAAACTTCCGATGCGCCTGTTGAGGCTGAAGCGGGGGTAAAAATCATAACTCTTGGGAATTTTCAGGTATCTGGCCACGGTAAAAGTAAAAAGAGCAAAGCCGTTGCGAAAAGTGGCAGTGTAAAGTACCAGTGGCAGATAATGAAATGTATTGGCCTGGATGATGATGAGATATTGAAGTTCAAAGATCCAAGGCACTGGTTATCGTATTTCCCATCCATGGCTATCGAGGATTTGCGAAAATTAGGTGTTAAGGTGAGCACTAATTAGTCTCCAAATATACTATTTGCATATTGTATGTTTTTAGCTAACTCTGATTTCACTGAGTTTTCATGTTTGGTCCCATTCATTTTAGTTCTGTGTATTTTGAGTAGATGTATTTGCTCATATATAGCTCTCCCAAATATCGATAACGCAGTTGTTACCTTTCAGTTCATAAATGTGTCCACAATTTAAATCCTGGTTATCTATCATCTAGGTAAAGCACCTGCTAAATTGATCCAATGGTTTTTCTTACTGACGGTTCTTTTTTATTGTTGATTTGAGTCAAGTATCTTAGTCCAGTCCATCAAGCAAAGTTTAGGTAACAGGTTAACAAATCAAAATGTGTACGCAGTGTCGTTTTCTCTTTACATAGGAGTGTATCAAGTATATTACAGGGTTATACAACTTCACGGGTTTTTGTACTTTCTTTCACAAGGCGAAGAATGCACTTATTATGTGACAGCTTGTAATAAGCGTAGTTACCGTCTCCGCGGTACGGTAGGTAAATCACTCCGCGCAGGGAGCCTGAAGGAGATGCTCTCCACCACGCAAAAGCTACCAGCATCCTCGAATAAAGTAGGGTTAACACCAAAGGATAACACAGAGAGACCTGGAAACAGACCTAGAGCTCCAGCTGTGGGCACGCCACCTCGCGTGGGGACCATATTAGGTCAAGTCTCCATACCTCCTACCCGGCCCCAGGGGACGTCAAGTGCATGGCAAAAGACATCGACCGCCGAACCCTCTACGAAACCCATTCCAAACACCCCACACACCGTGACTGAGAAACAACCAGTGGAATTACTCAAACCCACTGAGAAGTCGGGCGTGCCACCCACAACGAACCCAGGTCACAGGAGGACCAACTCGATCATTTTGTTCAACGTCGATGTATCGACAGACTCATTGTTGGTCGAGAGGGAACAATTTGACAACCGAATGTGGACCGACTACTGTCAGATGCTGGGACTCCCTCCCCTCCCTGCAACTTTATGTCGCCTTTCTCGAGGGAGCCGGGCGCCCCGAGATAAACCACCCCCTTTACGTGTGTCCCTAAATACCGCCAAAGAGGCTGAAGACACAGTCCTTTTCTCGCGACAACCGGACGTTGTTACTGCCTGTAAAATTCGGGCCAGGCCTGACAAGCCATGGTCAATAAGAGAGGAGGAGAGAAAGTCAGCGGTTGGAAATCCCAACAGAAACAACACTATAGTTGTACATAGGATTCCAGAATTGCCAAGTGACCGCTAGGTTAAAGATCGGTACTTTCACGACGTCCAACAATGGCAATGGCTCTCAACCAAAGCTGGTCTTGATAGTATACCGGCCAACAGCGTCAGTAGACTGCCAAGGCCAGCGCACCTGAAGACCATACCCAATCCCAGACTACTCGCCGTCCAGTTTGACGCATATGCCTCCCTCACAGACGTTCTGCACGCATGGTATAATGCGAAAGATCTCATGGGTGGCTCAATACGTATATGTGAAAGTAATCCTAGACCCAGAAGGCAAGAGGAGAGACGGCAACCACCAAGACCTCTGGAGTCAGTGGTCGTCACACAGGCACTGACCAGTGAGTTAGATACATCGAGTAAAGAAGCCACCACTGCTACAGCCCCCACCCAAGTTGAAAACAAAACAGAAGAAACGGAACAATGCCAGTCTTATGAAGACTGGTGACGCTAAACCCAACCACGTAAGCACTTATCACGCGAAATGCACAACCAGGCCTCCCCTTTCACCAGGCACACTCTAATATGTATGTACAGCAACGTTGAGGGGTTAAGAGGGGAGGTAGCAGAAATGAGGACGCTGCGTGAATATCAGCACTACGACATCATATTCATCACTGAATCCTGGCTCTCATCGGACATCTCCGGCAAAGAGATGCGTGTTGCTGGCATGGAACTCTTCCACAGGGACAGGGAACATAGAGCAGGAGGGGGAGTGGCTATCTACGTGAACTCCTGTTTAAAGGCAAGGATGGTTAGCGATACGGCCTTAACCCAGCTCCCAGAGTCTCTATGGTGCTACTTCACTCACTTCTTTATTCTCTCTTCATTCCTTTACCACTACCTTACTATTCTCTTCCAGGTACCTACACAGACAGGAGTCATAGCAGTTCTCTAAACTTCCCAGCAACCCGTAGCTCCCTAATCACTCTACAAATTACAACCTACTAACCCACAAAACATCCACCTCACCGAAGCTAAAAACAAGAAAGCAGAGGGTATTTCCTCGTCCACTGCAGGAGTAAACCGAACAGCTGGAACCAAGCCCTAAGAACTAGACGCGAGAGATCAAAAACTACCAGTTTTCTACGCTCGCACTATCAATATTGGATATTGGATATTGGAAGGTACTTTGAATTGCCCTGAAGGTCACTTTGTCACATTGTATTATTGTGGCGATAATTTAAGCTTGACGTGTCAAGGTGGTATGACGCGTAAAGGCACTGCCAAACTAGAGGAACTTCGTAAGATTGAAACCCAGATCCAGGCATTTTGGGAATCACAGAAGATATTTGAAGCAGATGCTCCCTATGGAAATAGTGAAAGGTATCATGTCAGATATTGTCATATTTCAGTGTCGAAAAATACTTTGTCACTTTTCCTTATCCGTATATGAATGGAAGGTTGCATCTAGGTCACACATTCTCCTTATCTAAATGCGAGGTATGGTACGAATTATTCTTCACTGTGTAAAGTTTTCCATAGGTTATGAACGTCTAAAAGGAAAACTAGCAGTTTGGCCATTTGGTCTTCATTGTACTGGCACACCTATCTTAGCATCAGCAGACAAATTAGCACGTGAGTGCGAAGAATTTGGGTATCCACCTGTATTTCCACCTGAAACTTCCGATGCGCCTGTTGAGGCTGAAGCGGGGGTAAAAATCATAACTCTTGGGAATTTTTCAGGTATCTGGCCACGGTAAAAGTAAAAAGAGCAAAGCCGTTGCGAAAAGTGGCAGTGTAAAGTACCAGTGGCAGATAATGAAATGTATTGGCCTGGATGATGATGAGATATTGAAGTTCAAAGATCCAAGGCACTGGTTATCGTATTTCCCATCCATGGCTATCGAGGATTTGCGAAAATTAGGTGTTAAGGTGAGCACTAATTAGTCTCCAAATATACTATTTGCATATTGTATGTTTTTAGCTAACTCTGATTTCACTGAGTTTTCATGTTTGGTCCCATTCATTTTAGTTCTGTGTATTTTGAGTAGATGTATTTGCTCATATATAGCTCTCCCAAATATCGATAACGCAGTTGTTACCTTTCAGTTCATAAATGTGTCCACAATTTAAATCCTGGTTATCTATCATCTAGGTAAAGCACCTGCTAAATTGATCCAATGGTTTTTCTTACTGACGGTTCTTTTTTATTGTTGATTTGAGTCAAGTATCTTAGTCCAGTCCATCAAGCAAAGTTTAGGTAACAGGTTAACAAATCAAAATGTGTACGCAGTGTCGTTTTCTCTTTACATAGGAGTGTATCAAGTATATTACAGGGTTATACAACTTCACGGGTTTTTGTACTTTCTTTCACAAGGCGAAGAATGCACTTATTATGTGACAGCTTGTAATAAGCGTAGTTACCGTCTCCGCGGTACGGTAGGTAAATCACTGAAAATTTGAACGTTGAATAGCCACTAATGTCATTATATTTTTGACGGACTTGAGTAGGAATAAAAGTAGTGTTGTTTAACAGTGGATTCCAAGACGGTCGTCTCACCGTCATTTTGGAAAACTTGTCTGAGTTTTCACCGAAACTCAAACTCGGCACCGACATACTAACATAGGTCGCTCATTTCTCTCTAGTTGAACCAGGTGTGAAAAATTAAAATCAGCAGTGACGATGCTTGTAATCTAGGGTATGCACCACCGTACACTGTTACATGGAACGAGTTTCAAATGGGATAAAGTAGCCGGCAGAAATTTTTAGTCGACAAGATAAGCTGTTGCAGCTTGCCTTCCTTGGGTAACGTACTATGCAAGTTAGTCGATGACATTATGAGCCTTCAGGGAGAGTTGGCTTGGACATGTGTTACGCATACCGAGCCATTGCCTACATTGACGTGAAATTTTGGCCGAAATAGGGTTGGAACGGAAGAGGGCTAAGGATAACCAGACCAAGACCTGGCACTAATCCACGGTTGTCGGCTTAAGCCATGAAGGAAAATGTTAGCTTTTCTGTTTCTAGTCAGCGTGACGACTAAAACCGGTGGTTAAAGACTCAAGGTGATATGGTTCAAAATCGATCTCGGCGGCGAAGATGTATCCACAAATTATCTTCCTTATGATTATAATACTAAATCTCATTGTCTCATTCCTTCTTGCTCTTTTTTCACGACTTCCTATCGCTTTTGACTGCCTTTTCCCATACTTCTCTGTCTTCTATCTTGGTGCATTCTCGCTTGATGTACTGATATGGACTATTAAGCAGCAATGCCGGGTTTCATGTTGAAACTGACTGGTCAAGTAGCTTCAGTAAATGTTGATATTATCGACTGTTAGTCTATAGAAATAACAGATGTAGTGAAGAATTTCAAGCTATCGGACACCCACGTATTCCATTCACCCTGTCTTCCCTCAATTCTCAAGATTTCGCTACTCTGTATCTGTTCTTGATCTTTCCTCGTTGTTTATTAGTTTTTTTTATGGAAAAATACAGGTTGGTAAACACAAGTCACCTTATGAAAGAACTTCATACTTGCTCACCAAGTTGACACGAGACATCAAGTTGATACTAGAAAGGCTTTCAAAATCATCCATCAGATTCCAATTAATTTACCTTATGGATTACGCACTCGGTTACTTCACATAGCAGAGGCAATTACAATCCACCTTTACAAACCTTGCCTTTGTATTTGAAAGGAGTTTGTTCGACCACTTTCATTACCGTGGCCGTCAACATGATGTAACTTCTAGGTTTACTTTGTACACCCCTTCTCCTTCTTGTTTCTGTCAGTACTCATTTGGTTTCTTGTTATTGCGTAATCACCTGTTGTGAATGACTGAACACTCATCACTCCATTTACCAAAGAATAGCTTGCTTCATATTTCCAACTTTAGTAACTATTGATTATATACGTCATTATTTCCGGAACATCACCACGTGATTGGTAGTTTGATTAAACTGTAAAACTATATATTAGTGTAGAGCTTAAGATGTAGATCTAATTGAAAAGGAATATATTTCTTCGCTCAATCAGTCTTTTTTCTAAATGTCTAAGTGGGAAGATGTAATAGATGACAGAAGTGTAACTATGATAATATAGTATAGGGTCATCAAAATTAAATGTTAGTTAGAGCCTCTATAAAGCTAGTTCCATAAGTGCTAGATTTTATGAAGCAAGGAATTAAAAATTACAGAATCATGGTGGGGCAGAGCTACTTTCTTAGGTGGATACTCGAAGACTGACTAAATTTATTTTACAGTTCGCAATATATATTTTATTATTATATAACAATAATGGTATTATAATAAGTATTTTAAAGCACCCATGATGAGTGTGGTATTTTTTTGCATATTGGTATACTTTTGTCAGTCTGAACGACTAAAGCGACAACTGTAACCAAATTAGTTATGCTTATGTATCCATCGGTTTCTTAACTTCAACATGGTCACCCAATAAGATAAAAAATGGGCTGTGGTTATTAATTTCTGATTGGTGAATCATCCTGTGTATGCTACTTTTTTCCTCACAAACTGTGGATTATCAAAACGAGTTCATTTAGAAGAGTAATGTCATATTTGTTTTCTCTCACCAGGTTGATTGGCGTAGATCTTTCATTACAACAGATATCAATCCATACTATGACTCATTTGTTCGGTGGCAGTTTTTGACTCTTAAGAAACAAGGCAAGATTCAATATGGTAAGCGGTACACGATATTTTCTGCCAGAGATAATCAACCGTGTATGGATCATGAACGAGCTGTTGGTGAGGTAAGATGCTTCATGCATTTTGATTTACAATTTCGTTTAAGGGTGTTGTTCCTCAAGAATATACATTGATCAAATTGCAAGTGATATCAGAGTTCCCCTCACAATTCATGTAAGTGGTTTTCATTTGAGAGTATAACTCAACGCATATATCTCGCTTTATATACAGTTTTACTAACATCTAAAGTGTAAAAACATGTGTTCATTGTTTCGGAATCATTGTTGTTTCCATCTCTAGATGCTTTTCCTATTTATAGATGAGTGAATGAATGAACCACTTTTAAATGTGGAGACTTTCTAAATGAGTCAATTACTGGTTGTTTGGACAAGTAGTTATAAGGTTTGGAAGTAACAATCGTCTTCATGAACTTTCTAGCACTCCATAAGACAACAAGTTTTTCAGTTAATGTCCTGCTGTTTCCATTTAATTTCTTTACTAAACAAGTATCACTTTTGAAGTTAAGCTGAGGTTAAGATATTTTCACTCAACTTCCTAATATTTCCACAAAGTAAACTAAGATTTACATGTCTTATCTTCTCGGTTCATTGGTTACGTAGAGCTTAAGAAAACTTGGTTGAACAAACGGAAGTAATATGGAACTTTTTGGATTGCTAGAGCCAGTTTGAATTGCAACAATTAAAAGCATACAACAAGTACAGATACGTATCGTAAATTTACTATTAATGCTAATAAAGTGCGAAACGAAACATGCAGGAAGCAAAAAGTGATAAATTGATGCAATGTAGTGTAATATGTTCACTGAGTAAAACGAGATGAGAATGGGTAAATCTGCAACTGATCGGCTTTGACTTCCTTGCAAACTCCAAATGGGAATCATGCAATATCTCATGTGATTAAACTCAACAATAGATTTGTCTTGTTCTAACCAGCTTTAGGTTCGTATCATGTTCTTACTGCAGTCGATTTAAGCGATAGTGGGATTTACGTAATGTGGAGGTTAAAAGGCGTTTAAAGTGACAATTGTTGTAACTTCTTCAAGTACTAATAGATTAAAGTGGAGTAAATTTATTGTTCCACGGCTCCTGTCTATATTCTAGTATTGTCTACAATAGTTGAAAGGATCTGAAACGTCGGAATGAATTCATACTGTACAATAATAGATCATTATCTGTATGATATGTGCAAGACCCGGCAAACTGGGAAAGCTTGAATGGGATTCACGTCATCAATAAAAGATTTTGTCATGGCGCATAAAGTAAAAATGCGTGACATTTGTACGTTCTTAAAAATTCAGTCATTTAAATGATTACATCTCAACAGCAACTGACAATGAATTGATGATACCAGATATGATTGTGTTGTGTGGAAGTAATTTTATACCTTAATTAGCAAAGAGAAGTTAATTGCATTAGTCATTATCACGTAGTTTCAGTTGTAAGGCATTTGTCAGTAGAGGGAAAATGTTCAGTCTCACTAAATTGAGATCTTTTCGCTTAGATAACACATTAAGGTAAAGAAACTGTTACTGTCTCCGTTGTGTCGTCCAACTTATTTTCTCATATCACTACAGCCGTCACCATTACATCAAACAAGCTTAACTGCAGTTATCTCACTTACTTGCTAACTACATGCTGAATATGGCAAAACACAGGTAAGTACATAACTCTCTATGCTTATGAAACTTTCACATTCCAAGCTGAGATAACTTGACAGTCTTATTGTAACTGTAATGTTGCTGACAACTGAATCCAAGCGACTTTGCGGTTAAGTGTTTTTTGAAGATTTTTAAAAAATTGTGGTCATTTTGTGGTGCCACACATTATAGCTTCTAAAGGTTTTGAACTAGCCACCATATCCAACATTTTTGACTGACACCGTAACTCAGCAGTACAAACGGGTAATCCATTATTGTGGAACTATGGTTTGTAATCAGACTAACACCCATGTACGCATCCCAACTGATTAGTTCAATTTTGGAGATACTACGTAAACCCTTTTCTGGAAAAAGAAAAACAGAACTACTTCCCTTTACATAAAACTTTTTAAAGATAATTCATTTAGAGATAGTTTCCTATTTTCAATTCATCACCAATATCATCACAGGATCAAGCATTTCTGCACAAGGGTCCAAGATGTAACACTTCATATCAACAGATCAAGCAACAAGATGAAAGATGAAGAAGTGAAGAGTCAGCCAAAAACAGTAGAAAGCAGTGAAAGAGAGGAAGGAGGAAAAGGAAATACTGAGTTCAGTGTGACGATTAAGGTGAATAATAATCCGTGGATACATCTACGCCATTGAGATCTATTCTGAGCCATTTCACTCAAATTCTGCAACCCCTGGTTTCTATTGTCACGCAGACTTCAACCGGGAAGTGTACATTCCCCTCACATGGCTCAGACCAATGGTCAGAGACTTCATGCAATAATAACATGTTTTAGTTTGGCAATCTCTAACCTTTTTCCGACCTGGACCTAATTCAGCTAACATTGCACAACGAGGCAAACTTCAGTTAGGCCTAGTCGTCCAAAAATGTTCACTACTGTCAAACTATGTGTAAACCCTCTCAGGCTACTGCTGATCGTAACCTTATGAATAAATATATTTAGTTTTGGCTACTGCAGGGCTAGTTAAAAGCCATACAGAACCACGCCTGCATCTTCTCTCATCAATAAACGTGCATGAATACGGTTGGAAAGGGGAGTCAATAAGTCTATCGAAAGTGCTGTCACGTTACCAATGGACTGAGGCATCAAATAAATATGAATCAAGTGGTCTTACTATATGTGGGGTTCTAATTAACTTTTGAAGGTGTATAACCATGTCTTTGTATAGGAATACTCTTAAAAAACAACATACAACAATTCAGTCTACGCCTTAAAGATAGCTCTTGACCACTTTCTTCCTTTGACTATATCGGGACCGATCTATTCTCACTCAAGCCATTATCATGTGGTCATCAACGTCGAACCCACTGTTAAATTTTTGAATTTACGTAACCCTCTGCAACAATCTGCTTCCATGATAACTGCCACGAACCTAACACTAAATGTTGGGAAACGGCATTCATCTGATGATTACTATATGTTCAGAAAACATTTATTTGCTCGATATTTTTCTTTTCATTGTCATTTCTATTTTTGTTTTACAGCTCTATGAACCAGTCCAAACAACCCATTTACCTTGTAGCAGCAACTCTTCGCCCTGAAACTATGTTTGGGCAAACCAACTGTTGGGTTCATCCGGATATTGAGTACGTGGCGGTTAGAAGTCTACATGAGTCGTGCATTCTAATTTGCACTCAGCGTGCTGTTCAGAATATGGCTTATCAGGTTGGCTATTTCTAAAATTATACTGCTGCCTAGTTGGTTTTTTTTAACAGTATGCACTACTTTGAAAAAATTGTTTGGTGTAATTCAAAGATGATGTAGATCTTAAAGTGTGGCACACTTCAAACGATTGGATCATTCATTTATCAAGGTGTTTATTAGAAGAAGAGAAATGAAATAAAGTTAATTAAGATATCTATGGTATTAGGGAGTGTAAGCATAAGAGGGTAGTGATAATAAAGAGAATAACACTTTAAAACTATGATTGCTTTGAGTTCATATAGGAAGAAGATTCAGATTTACTCGTGACTCGTGCTCTGGGAATCACGTCTGTGCACGCCTGCAATCTTTGTACATTTGAAAGCCGTTTTAACACAAATCCAGTGACAATGGTATGTCTGGTTGAGGAAAACAATAATTTTCCAGGATCAGACTGTGAATATATCTTTCACCACCCGGAGCTCCATGGCTGGGATAATTCTCTCTATGTGTATGTAGTTGCAAACACCCTCGTAAACTTAATCACTGGAATATGCTGTGGAATCTTAGTGGTATTGGTATATTCAGCACATATTTGTATTTATCAACACTCATGGACATCCCTTAGGTTTGACAGATGGAACTGAAAGTGAATATTTCTTTGTTCATTGATACTTATAGTTCCCCGTTGATATACTAAGTCGAGTGGCTCGACCTCTGTTAGTAGATGGGCTGTTATGCGGACGCCTCGATAGTGCCCGGCTATGTTTCATTGTGGTCTACTTGGCGGCTAGCAGTGGAATCCAGGACGTACGTTTTGTCAACCCGATGCATCTACACTCCAGGGAGTGTTGTTCTCACTGAGACTTGAACCCAGTACCCATCGCTTCAATCGCCAAAGCGTTATACACTAGGCAGCTGGGGCGTGAGAGCCACCTCTTGTGCAATAGTTATCAGTTGTTGCTCATTGACAGCAAGCAGACTACTTTTTGTTTCAGGGTAGGTAGCAACTAAGATGATCGACAGATGTGCAAGAGTAGAAAGCTTAGTCAATATATACACTTGTGATGCGTATTAGTTGGATTCTATATGTGCTTCGTACTTGTCATGGGATTCCACATGAATAAAGCCGAAAACATTTTAAAAAGTTCCATGCTTTGGATTAACACATGTAAACGGTGTGTAATTGTATTAAATTGGTCACTGGAGACTTCCTAATTTCAAGACACCTGGTCCTATGCGCTGATCGAATCTTACCGGTCATTTTGCAGTGTGGCCATCAAACTGGGAATCACCATTGTAGTACGCTCTGATTGCTGTTAGGTGAGAATTGAGCCGAGTGATTAGGTCGCTAAGTGCAGCGCTGGATGATACTGGTTCAAATCTCTGAGGGGATATCAGTCCCCTAAAGGTCGCAGATAAACCTTATTGACAAGTACAAACAAGCTCGATTCGTAAGTTCAAGGGCTCCTACTGATTGTCTTCAACTAACTAATATCAATCAATGTGTAACTGTTAATTGTTGTGAAAAGTATGCTTTTTTGTCGATGAGTAAATCTAAATATCAATGAGAGCTATCAGAGAAACAATGACAAATTCTCAGTCTTAGTCTCTGTTTCAGTTTTCCTAATATTATTTACGTTCCTTAGCGGTATGTATTATACCAGGGTACTGTAGTATGCACCAGCTTTTTTTGAGGTGTGTTAGAACGTTTGATAGGTTGTATTATCCTTCGAAATCGGTTGACTGTCTTGATTAATGGGCTTTCAACCAGTGGACTGTGAGGCTGAACCCCTTCCCACCTACCAAAGCTCCGACGCATTTTCACAAAATGGGACATATTATTATTATTATTATTATTATTATTATTATTATTATTATTATTATTATATACTTCATTTCTCATATATTTACTCTAGGAATAGTTTTTGAATTCATGAATAAATATATTGATTATTCTACTTCGTGCTCTAGGGTATTCTAGATCCTTCACACCCTGGACATATCGAGGTGGTCGCAAATTTCAAAGGTGTCGATCTTCTTGGATTAAAAGTCAAAGCTCCACTATCATCGTATACCGATGGTGTTTACGTTCTACCTATGATGTCGATTCGTTCAACTAAGGGTACGGGAGTTGTTACTAGTGTTCCTAGTGATTCTCCAGATGACTGGGTAGCTTTACGTGATTTAAAGAAGAAACCTGTAAGTTTCACATAATATCACCTATATTTTGTTGTCCAACTAGCTTTTTGAAATGAAACATTCTAGGTTATTGAGTAAGATCGTAAAGAGTTTTTGCATTGTGGGATGAATCAATATATTATAAATAAACTTAAAGTAAGTATTTACACACAACGGTCCAAGTTTTTGGTGGTGGAAGTATTTTGAACACAATTGCACATCGTGATCACACCCATAGTTGCAATTTTAGTCACGGTTTTTATTTAACTTCTTCATAGATGTACTAATGGACGTAACCTTAGGTAAGTCTGACTTCACAGGGATTGGCCTACTCTCTAGAGGTTATCTGGTTGACTTGGAGTATGCAGACGATGTTGTCCTGCTGAGTGAAGACGCTGACGAAATGCAGACAAGGTCTTCTGAACGCGTTGAACTGAAATCTGAGTAGGTTTAGCATGTTTAGCTGGCACCTGTCCAAATGTAAGATGGTACTCCAGGACTGGTCTGCTGCAAGTGCTCCCAGTCTAATGATAGCGAGTAAAGTGATGAAATATGTTGACTACTTCACTTAACTGAGAAGTCACACCAGCCCGAACGAAGTGGTTGCTGATGAAATTTCAGAAGGCCCAATTGACATTAGCCAACTTGCGTTATCTGTGACGCCAACTGGTGAGATAACCGACTACCTATCACAGGATGAGTATACTGCGCTGCAGTGCGTTCTGTCCTGTTGTACGACTGTATGGCTAAGACCTGAAGTGAATACAGAGTCTTGATCATCTGTCTTCGTGGCACTACCTGTGTTTGGTGGAACCGCCGTGCCGGCAATTTTGATGTCATTTGAAGGGTATTAGGCAGGAGAGGCAAGTTGGTTGATGAAGTTGTGAACCTTAGTCGACTAAGATAGCTTGGACATGTGTTGCTCACGCCAAGCCGCTACCTGCCTCTATTTACCATGCTAGGAAAGGTTAAGACTAAGTTGGAAGAGAGTTCAGGATGGCGAGACCGAGACGTGGCGTCAGTCATTGAAGTTCCTGACTGTTGGCCTGAGGTATGTGGTGAAATGTAGTCTGCCTGACTGGGGCCCCCGTGATCATCGGAATCAGTGGTTGTGGACTGTTGGTGACATGGCTAGAAATCGGTCACAGTGGTGCAGATATATTCAGTCTTTGATATCTTTGATGTCTTCTAAAGCTTGAATATTCGCAATAACCTTAATCTTCAAATTGGTTATTCTCCTACACTACTTTATCTTCTTTGATATAACTTTTTTTCCATGTACCTGTTCTTTGTGCGCTACTATGAGGTGTGGCAACTTGAACCGATACACCTATGTGTGACGTTCTGCGTTGATTTTGTCAGTCCTTGTTAGCATTGTGCACATAATTACCGGTCGTGATCACACCCATAGTTGGAATTTTAATCACACATTCATTGATAGCTTTACGCTTTTAGTTCTGGCAAAAGGAATGGCTCAATAAGGACAACTTCTACAGCATGGATTATATTCCATTTGATTCTCTTCAGCTGTTTACGTGGTATTAATGGTCGATTAGTGACATGGATGAAGATGAACATACACTACAATTTAAAACTCACAACCCATTATAGGGGATCAGCAAAGATTGAAGTGTAAGGCTGGGGAATGAAATGGTTGAATATTGGAAGGCTATATTTGAAGTAAGGACGACAGTTGTAGAAGTAGAGTAATCATCAGTTACAAAAATTAGCAAGATAATCATGACCATAGCGTGAAATGGAACAAGGATTTTTCTGAGCAAGAATCAACGAGTTGTAATTGTTATTAAGACATTCGAACGATAGCTGTTACTTTGACATGGTGGTCGGGTCTGCATATCACAATGACCCAACGATCTATGCTTGTGGAACACTTGTTCCCTCGGGGTCCTACCATACCAGAAAGGTCTGTTGGGTAGTGGTTAGGCGAAAAGCAGTTACCGTTGTCGTGTAAATTACTACACTGTGTTGGAGGTCCGTGGGCGAAGTTGTACTGCTGCTAGCCGGATGAGGTGTGACAGCAGTAAGGTGTTTCCCTTGGATGACCAGCAGTGCCATGCTGATGCTGCCTTTTCAGTGGGAGGGGGGTCGGGGGTTAGAAAAGGTCGACCCCGAAAATAATAAATTCCACCGTGCCCCACAGTCTGACGGGACGGCGGTGTTGGCTCATTTGTCATTTCTTTTCGACCTTCTGGCCCCAAAACAACAAAGCTGCATGTGACAGGCCTCAAGCAGATATCCGACGGGCTTTGCGATCACACAAATCTCTTTCAGGTAAGAAGAAATAGCCTTCCACGAAGTGGGCGGCCAGGAAGTGTCAACCGCCTTCACAACTCGATCAGTACTCAAGTTTCTTCAGACTGCTATCCACGTACCTCATCATTACCTTCTAATCTTCCTTCACGTCTGTCAATTAATGATACTACATCATCTTCAATTTCTTCTAGCACTGCAGACTTCGACAACGATCAGAGTGCACAGAACAGAATCCCTAGTCTCCTTAAGCTATGCTCCAAATTACACTTCGGGGCATTCAGTGTCCGTACCCTCCGTCAAATCGGTCAGCAGGCTTCATTGGCTATGACTGTAGCAACTTGGGCTATGGATGTGTGCTGTGTTTGTGAGACTCGCATACAGGACCCAAGTGCGGTTGTTCACCTAACCTCTCCCGGCCAAGTTGGTGAATCCGCAAAATTCACTCTTCGAGTTTCTGGAGATTTGATGGCTACCTCTCGCGGTCTTGTAGGTGTGGACATAGGATTGAGGACTAGAGCAGAAAACGCATTACTAGACTGGATCTCAGTTGATAGTCGCCTCTGCTCTATCCAGCTGAACGGCACAGTGAGAACTAAAAGGAATAGTGAGACTCGACGTTGTCTCTGCTTACGCACCCACTGACTGTAGTTCGGATGAAGTGAAGGACGAGTTCTACCGTAAACTGTCTAGCCTCCTTTCGAAAGCCGAACGTTTAGACGTGGTGGTTGTTGCAGGTGACTTCAATGCCTAGCTGGGTAGACTGAGTGAGGCACAAAGGCACTTAGGTGGTACTTTTGGGATCGCGGCTAGACGAACAAATAACGGTGATCGCCTACTACAACTGTGCTCAGATAACCGCCTATTTTTAGCTGGCACAAATTTCAGACATAAAGAAAGACACTGTCTGACATGGCGTCCACCGAGCTCAACTCAGCGATGGACATGGGTAAACTACGTTGCTATCAGTCATCGGTGGAAGACTGTCGCTCCTTTTGGAGTACGTGTTTGGATAGCGACCACGCGTTGGTCCGAGCACGTATATGACTGCGTCTCAATGGACGTAGGAAAAATTTGGCAACAAAGCCGTGTTCAGTGAGAAGTTGGCTAGGCAGTTATCGGAGCAGAAGACTACCACTCATCCAGAAAAAGCTTATTGTTATCTTCAGTCTGCTGTAAAAGCAGCTTTGAAGACCGTAGCCGACTCCGAAAGAGCGACTAAAAAGAGCCAGTACATATCAACAGCTTCTTCTGAACTAATGGATGCACGTGAACGCATTCCTGTAGGCTCTGAGTACAATGAAGAGCGAGCACAACTTAAAAGTAGATTGAGGAAAAGTCTTCGCAACGACCGCGAACAGTGGTGGGCAGCGAAGGCTAAAGAGATGAAAAAGGCAGCGGCGATCGGTAATAGTGGACAGTTATTTAGACTTATTCAGGAAACTGGGGGAAAAGGTCAACAACGGTTAGTAAAACTATAGCGGAGAAGGATGGATCTGCGATTCACTCGCAGGGGAGATGACTGGAACGATGGGCAGAACACTTCGAGGAACAGTTTAGCTGGCCTCCAGCCACCTTTGCGTTGCCCAATATTCAGTCGGATCCTGAATGGGCCCCTCAACACTAGAAGAAGTTGAGAAAGCGGTAGGTAACCTGAAACGAGGAAGGGCAGCAGGACCAGAAGGACTACCTGCTGAGGTATACAAGAATGGTGGTAGAGTGCTCTTAGTCAGGTTAATGGGTATGTTAGCTAGTAAATGGGAATCAAATATGATCCCCTGTGACTGGTTTAAGTCACTGATTATCCCAGTCTTCAAGAAAGGTGAGAAGTCCTCTTGTGATGACCACAGAGGAATCAGCCTGATGAACATAGTGTCCAAGATCCTAGGTTCTATAATTCTCCGACGCCTGAGTGGAGCTCGGGAACACCAAGCCCAAGAAAACCAGGCAGGCTTAAGACCTGGTCGTGGGTGTACCGACCAGATATTCACACTGCGCCAGGTTTTGGAACACAGACACGCTTACCGACGCCTGACAATAGATGTGTTCCTCGACGTGAAGACGGCATCGGACTCCGTTGATCGAGAAGTCTTATGGCAATGTCTCTCACTGAAAGGTGTGCCGAGTAAGTACATCACCCTATTGATGACTCCTTACTCAAACACTCGTGGGGGTGTTGGAGCCTATGGTGAGATGTCCAGGGAGCTATTTTCATCGAGTGGTGTCCGTCAAGGGTGCCCACTATCTCCATTCTTATTTAGTTTTATCAGAGATATTCTTATGGAGGTCTCCCTCTCGTCACCTGACTACACAGAGGTTGACCTAATCGCAGGAGAATTTTCGTTAGATCTAGAATATGCAGATGACATAGTTCTGTTTGGTGAAGACGCTGACATGATGCAGAGTCTTCTGAACACTTTGAGTGTCAATTTGAGAATGTTTGAGGTGGGTTCCTCACCACCTAAATGCAACTTGCTGCTCCAGGATCGGTCTTCATTGGTGCCTCGGATAATAATGGAGAGTGTAGAGGTTGAGTGTGTTGACCACTTCACTTACCTGGGAAGTAGGATCAGCCCTGGTAGCTCAGTGACCGATGGAACCTCCGCACAGATGCAAAAGGCTCAACTGGCTTTTGCCAACTTACCCCACCTGTGGCGCCGCCATGATATCCGATTGTCTGCACAGCAGTCTGCTCTGTTGTAATATATGGCTATGAAACATGGTCATTGAAGGTGGAAGACATGAGAAGGCTTCAGGTGTTTGACCACCGTTTCCTTCGTAGTATAAGCCGTGTTCCGTGGTGTCATCACGTGAGTAGTGCGGAAGTCGGGCGCTGAGTTTTAGGGAGAAGAAATAAGTCAGTTGACACGATTTTGAACCTTCATATACTGAGATAGTTGGGACATGTGTTACGTATGCCTAGTCACCGATTGCCTTGTCACGCAATGTTAGTCGAAGTAGGACCATTATGCAGTAATGCTGGGTCCAATGTTGATTCGGATGGATTATTAAGACAGAAAAGCGAAGAAGACGAGGGAATAAAATTCCAGGTTTCTCACTGAAATAGTTGTAGGTTAACTATCTAGTCTTTTTGTATACAAAAACCATCATTCGACCTCTGAATCGAGATGGCTTCTGTGAGACGAAACAAGGTAAAATTAAACTGTTTATGGTGATTTCGAAGGAGTTTCTAGTATCAACTTCATGTCCCCATATCAAGAAAATGATACCACTTGGTCAGTCGTTCAAGCTGTAGGTTTCTTTTAATGTGTTCGAAAGAATGAGCAGCTCCCTAATCTACCCGTTGTCCCTGTGTACCCGATTTACCCAGTGAAGTTAGTAAATGCAATTTGAGGTGACATGGTATGAGTATTTATCTACTTTTATTTGCGTTGTTAGAAATTTTCTCAGTATACAATAGGGTTAGTTTCGCTGCATGAAATGTATTTCTAAGGCTGGCTTTCAATCACTGATTAAACTTTGTCGTTATTCAATCTTCCTTGAATTCCAGTGGTCTAGTTGCTGGATATTTATAAGACGTTCCTCGTCCATGAATGAAGTTATCCGAATAACCTCTCTTTTAAAGGTATTTCTTGCCAGCAATCAGTTCTTCCAGCGTTTCTGTTTAACAGATTTTCCTAGCTCTGAGGTATAGTGTCTGAACCAATCCTCTTTTGTAGCTTATCCGACGAGAGCTATGGAATCTGAAGTATTGCTCATTCCAGGTTGCATTGTCACGATCCTGTCTCTGAAAGGTTAATCATTTCTTCATGTGTTACCTGGATCCAAAAATTGTAAGGTATTCTTGGAACAGAAAGTCAAAATAGATTTCATATAAATAGTGTTTTTATTTCTTTGGTTAATTTGCTTATCCAATACGATGTCCCCTATGGCTAACAAGTGAACTGCATCATTTCCATAGCATTTAATCGGTGTGACAAATGAGTGTGGATGGTAGTAGTCGAATCCATATTCACATATATATCACATCGGCTATGTGTTACAGAGGGTGATCCAATTCATTATATTGTAGTCTACTTGCTGGTAGTAGAATCCAGCACACGCATTTCATCCTATTTGGGACTCGTCTTCTGGCTGTACCTGCACTCCAATAAGTGTTGTTTCCATTACGATTCAAACCTAGTACTCATCGCTTCAAACACCAAAGCGCTATCCACTAGGGCATGAAAGCCACTCCTTGTGCAACGGGTATCAGTTGTTTTTTTATTGACACTTGTAGTTTTCCGTTGCTATCCTCGTGCCTCGTTGCCACTGTACCTCGGTGGCCGGACAATATCTGGGCGTCTGCATAAGAGCCCATCTGTCAACAGAGGTCTCCTGATTCAATTCACTTGTCATTACGTTAAATGAACAGATCAACGAAATTGTGATCATCGTGTGTGTGTGTGTGTGTGTGTGTGTGTGTGTGTAAAACATTCATTTTACGGTATCGTTTTATATTTTTAAAATTCGTTGTTAGACGTCCTACACTGTAGGTCCATGCAGCGTGGTTGTCGCACTAGCTTTGACCTACTGCATTGCACAAACGTATATCATATTGTTAGTTTGGATGAAGCAGTTAGAATGATAATCATAAAAAATGGTTGTAATATTGCAACCTTTTGACTTTGTAATCATTTACACTGATATGTGGATAATATTTAATGATTGTTTTGATGCATTCACTTGTATTCTTTTCCTATGTTTCCATTTCATAGGCGTTTCGTGAAAAGTACAATCTTCTTGACTCGATGGTTCTACCATTTGAACCGGTTTGTAATTTTATTTCTCTGTATTAACTAATTGCATAATTCACATCTCTCTAGGTGCCTATAATTGACACACCAGATTTAGGTAACCTTCCAGCTGTTACAATAGTTGATCAATTGAAAATTCAAAGTCAAAATGATCGAGAGAAATTACAAGAAGCCAAAGAAAAAGTTTATCGTGTTGGCTTTTATGATGGAGTAAGCTTCTTTTCTATCGGTTTTGTTTTATTTAATCAATTAGGTTATGTTGGTGGACAAGTATAAAGGCATGAAGGTGAATGCAGTTAAAAAGCTTATTCAAGATGAATTAGTAAAAACGGTAAGTCACAAAGAACTTTTTTAAAAGAAAAACGCTATACTGCGAATTGTACTTATTCTGTAAGGCTCTTTTGGTTATCTTGCTTAGTAGAGCCGGAGCTGCAGCTCAGTGGTATGAGGAGATGACTATCAACCCTTGGGTCACGGGTTCGAACCCCGCTTCTGGTTTCGGCAGCCAGGTAGTGTCACTAGCCCTTACACAGTAAGTGTGGCTCACTGTTTACTACATGAATGTGCACAAGGTTGCTTAGTGTGCTGTGCTGAGTATAAATACGACTGTACAGCTTGATAATGAAGTCGTTGAAAACAAATATTTCTTTGCTGATACATATCATGTTCTTATTCATGAATAAATAAGTATATTTCGTCAGTTGAAATCAGCTTATGATGCATAACAACTTTTAAAAATGCTTCTTGTCAACCCTGTATAGGTTCTTACACTATTCTCTAAACCACATGTTGTTGTTCAAAGTGTACTTACGAGCTGTTTGCGATTGTTTAGCTTAGCTTTTCATTTGCCTACATGGTTGAATTAACTTCTTAGCCGAAATCACATTAAACTAATCCTAAAGGTTAAAAGGTCCGATTACGTAATGAAAAAATGCACATAATTTATGTTGAACCATAACTGTAACTTATTGGTTTATTGTAAAGATTGGACCATCGTTCTTTTGGTCAACTTTATTTAGATTTACAATGTGAAAAGTGAATTTCATGTAACTTTTCACCATCATTATTAAACATATTGACTGTAAATGAACGATAGTCACACTCAGTTGTTTTATGTCCTCATACAACACACACTGTAGATAAGCTCTTGTGCAGACTTATAAAGAAAGAGATATGCTTCTCAAGAAATAGCTTGAGAATTCAATAATTCTTCCTGACCTTTGGTGAAACAAGTAGACTATTGATGAATAATCTTTGATGAGTACGTGGGTCTTTTAACTGATAATAAGGGTTTAAGTGTGTGCTTACAACAAAGCCTGACAGCTGCAGTTCCCCAGAAAGGGAATTTCAAGGTGATGAAACGGGTGTCAACTATTACAGATTTTTAAGCGTTTTGCTGTGCACGTTCCCAACTATTTTAAAGTACCACTCATACCTATACCAAGTACACCCGTAATTTGTTTTTGTTTATCAATCTGTATTTCTTTAGAATCAGGCTATAATTTACTATGAACCAGAGAATTTGGTTGTCACACGTAGTGGAGATGAAGCAGTGGTTGCTTTATGCAACCAATGGTATTTGGATTATGGGTCAGACGAGTGGAAATCGGTAGTTCGCAAAGCTATCGATAATTTATGCGCAACTGATGAGGTAACCTCTTGTCGTTCTGTGGGTGGTTTGCAATTTTTATATACTTCAGAATTTTTTTATTAATCACTATGTATGAGTATTTTTCCCATATTTTTGAAAGTAATCTCTCCTGCGACCATTTGCCAAGTTCTTCCTACCAAACATTGTGTTTACCAAACTAACTTTAGCATCGTTTTTCCTGGCAATTTTTCTGCAGGTTAGACGTAATCTTTTATCAACCGTTGATTGGTTACATGAACATGCCTGTTCTCGCACTTATGGCCTGGGAAGTCGTTTACCTTGGGATGAAAAATGGCTTATTGAGTCCTTGTCTGACTCTACTATATATATGGCATATTATACAGTTGCTCACTTGTTACAAGGTGGATCATTAGATGGTAGAAAATTTGGTCCTCTTGGAATCAAGTTAGTTACATCTGCTTTATACACATTAATTTGCTACTTAAGATAACAGATAATTTTCGTATTAAATTGAATCTACTCTGACAAGGAATCTATCACGCTATTGTTGACTGCTTGAATATAAGAAAGAACACTATTGCAAATGACTGTATGAAAGCTTTTTAGATTCAAGGAATAGCTTCATATCTTCTGAGATCTCTTTCGTATTTAACGTTTTTCAGTATTTGTATTTGACAATATTGCGAAGAAAGAATTCAAAACCTCTACAATATTATCATACAACGAAGGCGTCTCAGAGACATTACGTAAGACCCTGAGGTTACAGTGGCATTAAAACCAACAAACTCACTTAGAAATAACCTTTGTAGATTCAAAGATCCTATTGGTCCAATAAGGTAGGATAATTTAGTTTACCGAATCCCTTGCAACGATTGCGAGTTCAAAAACCTAGGTCAAAGTAGTCGACCAGGGTCAATTAAGCTATCCTAACATAAAGTCTAAATAGGTCAAAATTGGTAGGTCCTAGTAAGGTAAGGGATTTCGAGAAAAGCCCGGTCATAACTATGCACGCGATTGCACACAGCCGCACAATCCGATGTCACAGAGTGGAAATCCTTGAAACTAACATAATGGGGGTGGAGGGAGAGATTGATAACTGAATCTTTGTTTATCGAATCAACACCAAATACACTCAACAGAAATAACTCAGCACGTGTTCCGGATATATGGAAAATCTTACTACCCCATATCACAAAGGAGGCGGGGAAATTACGACTATATAAAGGATATCTCAAAGTTTTATAGTTATGGACAATAAATTGTGTCCGAAACGTAATCCAGTAAATGACGATACTGTTCCGCTATGTGATGAATCTAATAAATCTATAATATTGGATTTGTATTTGGCCTTAAAACAGTAATATTCATTATCATCTTGACTATCTGGCTTGGCAGGCTAGTAATTTATACTAGGTGATGATTGAAAGTGAAATGAAAATTGGGACCACGGCTGGATTCGAACCAGCAACCACCGGGTTGGTAGAGCGTCGGACCGGAAACCCGGTGGTTTCTGGTCACCCACAATAATATTCGATGTTAGCAGTCAAAATAATTTGAAAAGAGCAAAAAGCAACAATGTGAGTAGGATAAAACGGATCCATTTTATTTCCGTGGCATCTTGTCAACTGCTTACAACCTAGACTATCAAAATATGTAGTTTTCTGGAGGGCTTACGATCAGCCACTTGGCATCTGATTGACAGTGAACGCCGGGAAGATATCTTCGATTGCTTCAGGATAATAAGCAAACTCACTTCTGCCGAATTTTTCTGAGGTCATAACCATCAAAAGTCTCAAACCTGATTTATGTGTTCCAAAAGAAGCTATGGTTAACTTCTACCTACTCTAGTAACCTTTCTTGACTATTATTTATTTGCATCATCTTTTCTTCATATCGAATGTATTTAGATGACTGAGCTTAACTCACAATATTTTGCTTATCTGTTGTATGGCTTGTTTACGTAATCTTATATAACTTTGTGTTGGTACTCCTGTCGTTATTTTTTATACAAGAAACTTCCATTGGATTATGTATATAATCGTGACGATCTCTTACTGTTTGTTAACCTTCCTTGAATCTGCCGTTATGATTGACCTTTACTCTATGACTCACCGTCCGTCTTAACCACTGACCCATATTCTCTTTTCTTTCACGTCAATATTAAAGTATGTTAAATTTTCAGTGAAACTGCTTATTTTAATATTCTAGTTTGTAAGCAGTTGGCAACACCACCGTAATGAAATGGATACTTTTTATCCTGCCCCCATTATTGTTATTGCTCTTGTCAAGTTCATCTCAGGAGGTTCGTGCATGAAATTTAAAATAATTGTTTATTGTCTTTGGGTGACTTTAAAGGCTACCCTAGCAACTGATGAGACAGCTAATTACATTCCTTTATTCTCTGGAAAAGTACAACAAAGACTGATTGGTCAGTTCAGTTGTTGCTAGGGTGACCTTTAAAGTCACTCCTGTCCATTAGTCGTCTGTACCACTTAGCACGTATGGTAATTATTGGAATAAAAATAGTATTCGAACAGACCTTCGTTTCGCATTCTCATTGTGCTATTCTGAAATCAGTTTCCAACTGTTTTTCTGTCATACGATTAAATCCAGAGTGGGCAAATATGCAGCAAACTGTACGAGTGTCAGTGTAATCGATGGGTTAACGACATCTTTTGCACTTCATGGTGCATACACTTTTTAGGAAAGGTGAGCGAAACATTGGTGGTTTCATCAAATGAGTTCCTTTTGAGAGCGTTAAAATGTAGACTGAATCCTTCAGTAAACTTTGTAGTAATAATGCAATACCTTAGTGGAATATTTTCTGTTCACTCAACTTTAGTTCTATACGCGACTGTTTTGGTTAGAAGTACACATGGAGTAAAGTATAGAGGTGGTTAGTTTAACGCATAAAGACGAATTGTGTAGAGGTACATCGCTACTGGAGCTTCATAGTTTATCGCATGGAACTTAGAGGTTTTTATATTGAACAAGTTAGTGATGCAACCATTTTTACTAAACAACTGAAGAAAGTCATGTACAGTGCAAACATTAGGCTTCAACTTGTAACTTTTATAACCAGTGGCGCCGGTCCATGAAATCTCTGACCGTTGGTCTAAGCCGTGTACAGAGATGTGGACTACCTTGTGGGGTCCCCGAGAACACAGAAACCATTGGTTGCAGACTCTTGATGGAGTGGTTGAAAATCGGTCACAATGGCGCACATATATTCACTCCATTACGTCTACGAAAGCTTGAATGTTTTGACTAGCCTTCATTTCTAAATTCCTTCTCTCCCACACACTTTTATCGACTTTGATATCACTCTTTATATGTCCACTTGTTCTTTATACACTGCTATGAAGTTTAGCAACTTGAACCGATACACTTGTGTGCGAGGTTCTACATTGATTTTGTTTATCCAACCAGTGGAATAATCTCTGCATGCCTTTCAGGTTGATCAGGTGAGAATATTTTCGATGACAGTTAATAAGTTAGTTACTGTGGTATCGAAGAGAGGTTCGTTCAGTTAACTGGACATTTAGTAACATGGGGTGATTGTTGAATGAACTCAAGTAAAACAGCTGTTTTGTGTAGTTGAATAGAGTAGTTACCGAACATCCAGATATTTCCTTGCATGTTGCTCATAAGTTGTATATCCTACATGTAAAAAATACTATGAAAGTTAAGATTTCAGAGAGAGAAAACTTCCGGATTGGGTGAGTAACAGATTGGATCAAAAACTAATATTACATAACTCGTCCAATCAGAAATGAGATTTCCTTGATATGATTACGGGTAATTAGTTGCACTAGAAACGCAATTCAGTGAACACTACCGTCACATAAAGAACGAGTTCCATAAGAAAACTAGTACAAAATTCTATTATCCCGTTTTTTCATTACCCCATTGTTAACGAAACTTTATACCTTCATTTCTAAATTGTCTGTTGATTTCAACTTTGTCTGTTTCCCCTAGGCCTGAGCACATGACTCCGGAAGTATGGGATTATATATTTTTGGGCATTGGAACTCCAGATAATTTGGTGAAATTGCAAAGACACTCGTCAATAAGTACAACTGCCCTTAAACGTCTTCGTGAAGAATTTTTATTTTGGTATCCAGTTGACTTAAGAGTTAGCGGAAAGGATCTTGTTCCAAATCATCTAACTTACTATCTGTATAATCATACTGCTGTCTGGCCGAATGAACCCAACTTATGGCCTGCAAGTATACGTGCAAATGGTCATCTGCTGCTAAATTCCAACAAGGTAATTCAACAACTTTTGGTACTTGATAGTGAAATGTAATATAGGTTAAAAGCGACTCATACTGTTATTTGTTTACTATTGTTGTTGAAAAGAAGTTTGCTTCACCATTGCAGCCTATGAAGTCGGGTAGCATAGCAGTGTCAGTATTACGCAATAGTTTTGATTAAGCGAATTATCTTCTACTTGGTTTCTGTGGCCTATATATCACTCCTGTGTTTAACGCGTATCACGCTTTGGAAAGAGCTTCACAACAATTTGTCTTCCGTGTTTGGGAACAACGTCAGTCATCAACGAATCACAGGGCAGTGTAATTAGTTGTGATTCATGATCAGAAACAACTATTATAGTTTACTCGTAATCATTATTGTTTCTTTTTATGTTTTAATCTTACAGTGTTCAATGTATGAAAATACGGTATTCGGATAACATGCATACTGTGTACATTATTCATATACGAAAAAGATTGCATATGCCTACTTGACTTACTTGGGTCCTCAAGATGATAGGAATTAATGGTTGGGGAATGCTGGTGTAATACCCCACAATTATTGTATGTGCCATCCGTCTTAGACATTTTTATTAACTTCCATCTATTTATTCCCTCTCCTCTCGTACACTTTTATCGACTTTAATATCACCCTTTTTCTATCCACTTCTTTACTTACTGCTGTGAAGTGTAGCAGTTTAAAGTGATTCACTTCAGTACTGATCTCTATGCCTGTCTGTTCTAGACTATTAGTAAGATGATAAATTATAAGGTGGAAGATTTATTTGTGTAATTTTTCTCTTCAAATTTTCACAAGATGTATTCGACAAACAAAAACAGGAGTAATGATAGCAGTTCAAAAACACTTGGGTCATGAAAACAGTACTTTACACGTTTAAAATACTGTTATCTACAGTCTATGCTCCCTGTTCTTTCTAGAGGAAGTAGGGACAGTTAATAAAACTCTTTGAACTGACATTTGGCCCCGAACATATGGTTTTAGTTCATTGAAGGTTTCTGTATTCATCAGTTGCTTAAATTTACTACTACAAAACAAATTAACGTAATGTAACAAATTAGCGTAACAAGGTATACTGAAACAATAAAAACGTTAAACAATACTTTCTTAACATTGTCTGGTTCACACTAAGTTAAGAAATGAGATGACGTTTGTAGAGTTCATTGGCTTCAAGGTGGTATTTATCAAAGACTGAGATCGGCTAGGGAACTATTCAAAGCCTGAGCGAACTGGACAACCATTTCGGCCTAGTGTGAGACTCATCAGCAGAAGAATCTGTGATCTGTGGTGGGGTCAACCAAGTTCGTACTGTATCGCAAACTGACTGATGCTGGGAAATGTCGACGATTGCATTCCAACCCACTGACTGGATTGTAAGGTGCTCACTGCGGGTCGTGAGTATACACTGCTTAGAAGTTGCATGCTAGAACAAAACAGCTGTTTAGTCCTCTCAAGTTTTCAATGGTTCTCCAACTGATGTCAGCCCGTGTTGATTAATGCCTTAAAATAAAGTAAATCTTTAATAAAGCCGTTCCTAATTGTTAGCTTGTAAGCCGAAAAAAAGAAACTGGTTGTGCTGTTTTCAGCTGTTTAGTAATCTCTGACTTTTGCTGGTCGTTTAGTTGTAATGATTCATATTCATATACTTTATCTGTTTACAGATGTCGAAATCCACTGGTAATTTCCTTACATTGTCCGATGCTGTTGACAAGTATTCAGCTGATGGTAAGTATTACGTTTCGAGAATTTACTTTTCTTCATCATTAATAAAATTGATATAGTTGCATCATGAAACATATGATGCATTGCCTTCTTAAGCATCTGACCTTGAACCGTATTCAAACTGCATCCCACTTACTTTGGCGCAGAAAACCAGGTGGTAGCATACTAAGTCTACACAACAACGATGTCGCCATAACCTAGTTCATGAACATCTGTTCCGGGTGTAGTTTCATCCTTATGCGGACCATAATGCTTAAGACTTGTTTGTTATGAAATCTTACCTAGTTATGGAGCAAACCTGTGGCTCAGTGATTTAGAGGGTCGACTTTGAATCAATAAGTTACGGGTTCGATCCCCGCTCCTTCTACTGAGATTTGGACAGCCAGGTAGTATCATTAGCCGTCGCAGAGTAAGTATGGTTCGCTGCCTACTGCACAGATGTGCTCAAGGTTGCTGCGTTTTGGTTCTGGAAAGGTGGGGTGGCGTCAGAGATCGTGATAACTGGTGTGTGTAGTCGATTCATGACTCGCAACCGTAACACTACACTACTGTTTCTGCCAATTCTGTGTTTCATACACATAGTTCTCGTATTTTCTTTGAAAAAGAATGAAATGGAATTTAGACTGTTGTAAACTTATCAACAACACGTGGTTGGAAGTGATGGGATTGCCTGTTTATAGTTGCTCAGTTAGTACAGCTTGATTCAGTGCATATTTTGTAAGCCCTAATCATTGTGGTACGATTAAACAAATGACTACTTTTATTTTATGAGTATAGCGAGCGACTTTATGAAGGATTCCTCCGTGGATATAAGCTGATCAGCGAATATCCACACTCGAAATAATTAAATTATCACTGACAACTTACAGATAATGAAGTTATGCAGTGTTAGAGAATTTTGATTTAGCGTCAATTATCTGTAAACGCTTTATGATTGATAGTTGAGCTTGTTAAGTGTCTAGCCTTTTTCTCAGATTGTACATTGTACAGACATAGTGGATTTGATTAGTTCTTATACTGTCATTTGGCGTTTACTACCATAAAATAACTTCAGTTATTCAAGAATTTGCATAGAATTGTTGTATACATAGGTTGTTCCATTTGCTACGACTATCCAATAAATGAACTATGTGAGTAGGTAAAGCTAGCAAGTAACCCGAATGATCATTTTTTGTTCTCCCATCATGGATGCGAAAAGTAGAAGACGATCGTTTCATACCATAGTCAAACACAAGACTACTCGTAAATTGGACTGTTAAGGATCATCATATATCCTGGGATTTCGATGATATGAGAATCATTTCTCTAAGGCTAATATGTCAAATTTTAACCTTAAATGAGGAGAGTGTCACATTTTAAAGGGAGAAAGAGACTAGTTATTTTTCCATTTACCTTTGTGATGAAATCGAAATGCTCTGAGCAACCACGAATATGTAATTTGTGCACTAGGCAGTAAGACATACCTATTGTTTGAGTGCTGTTTATACTACCTGGCTGCCCAAACCTCGGGGTTAGAACCCGTGACCTATTGTTTGAAAGTTGACTGTCTAAATCAATGAATTCTAATTTCGTTTACCTCTATGGAAAAGTGACTTCGATTACTATTTAGCGTTTTTCCTGACTTGAAACAGATGTGTTTAAATTCAGATGTTGACGAATGGTTTGTTATTCAGTGGTCCTGATTCACTAATGAACATTTCGGAGTTATGATTTTCTTTTCCACCTCATTAGATAGGTTTAGTTATTCAAAAAAAGAAAGCAGACTATCTGGAAACATTGTGCAAGAATTCATCCAATTCTCAAGACAAAAGATTGTTTATTTTCAAAGCCTAAACTATCATCGGTTTAGGTGGCTTAGGCAAGTACTGCATATGCCGAGCCATGACCTGCCTCGACATGCAACGCTAGGGGAAATTAGATCCGCTTGGAAGAAGGCTCACAATGATCAGATCTCTGACTGTTGGTCTAAGCCGTGTACAAAGGTAGAGACCACCTGACTGGGGTCCCCGAGACGATAGGAACCATTGGTTGTCTCTTCGTGACATGACTTAAAATCGGGCACAATGGCACAGATGTATTCACTCCTTGAGGTCTTTGAAAGCTTCAATATTTTTACCAACCTTCATCTTCAGATTGTTACTCCCTCTATACACCTTTATTTTCTTTGACGTTAGTTTTTTTTCTGTCCAGTCGTTATTTGAATACCACTGTGTGTAGTGGTAACTTGAACGGATGGACTTGTGTGTGAGGTTCTACGCTCATTCTGTCTGTCTGCTTATCAACACTCAATTGAAGACAAGACGTGCTTTGAAGGGTGTTTCAAAAACTCTTATCCTTACTTCAACCATGTACGTGATAAGAACTGCTTGGATTTCTCTTAAAAATGAATAAAAACTCATATGCATTCAAATAAAGCCTTAAGAGTGTTGTATTCATCGTGGCAACTAGCACTGGAATTCAGGATTCATGTTTCATCCCATTTGAGACTTGTTAGCCGGATGTACCTATACTCCAGTCGATAATGTTGTTCTCATTGAGATTCGAACAATGAACTATCATGTATCATATATTCCTGAATTTCTTAGGATGTTGATCCAATTAACGGAAGTTTAGTTAATTGAATGTGTAGTTCTTGTAGGGATACTCCAATGTGAATTACTTAACATGAATTAAATTTTTACCCCACCTTCCTCTATTATATTACTCTAAGGTATTCGTCTTGCTTTGGCTGATGCTGGAGATTCGTTAGATGATGCTAACATGAAAGAAGAAATGGCTGAAGCAGGTTTATTACGTCTTTATGGCCTCTTAGATTGGTTCACTATGACCTTGGAGATTCTCAAAGATTCAACTTTACAACAAAAATCTAATTTTCGAACAGGTCCGTATACAATGCACGCAGATTATGTTTTTGAAAAGTAAGCATCAGTAATAATTTGTAGGAGTATTTGGATTATAGTTAAGTTTTATGTTGTTCCAGAATTTTTTTTAAATAGTAATTGTCAGAGTATCGTTTTTATTGTTCCACGCTTGGAGAACAGGCGAACAGCGTAAGGGAACAGTAAGTGAACTTTGGAAGTTGGCAATATTACTAAAGATCTAAACAGTTCCACTGGGTCATAAGAGAATAAAGACAAATTTATTTTCGGCGAATTCATCTTCTGCAGCTGTACAATCATATTTAAATATAATTTGCAGGTTTTTGGGATTTTTTTACTAATTTCAAGTAAACATATATCACGAACTGACATGCCAGTTAGCCAATACGTGTTAATAGTTTGTAGCCATGGAAACAATACAAGAATGGAAATCACCTTAGGGATATGGACTGGAGAGTTTAGGAATTAAGCAAGGAGTAATGATAAAGAATGGCAGTCTCTTTTAGACATAATTCCGGTTTCGATTGTTGTATTCCCAAAGCTTCAGTAGAGTAAATATTTCCTCACACCCTTCGGAAGACTAAGTTGCGCTTTATACACTAATGCAAGCAAATCTTCTGAAGCGGTATCCGCTGTCCACCAATTGTTTTATTATGACACTGTCAATCGATCTGAGTTGACGTTTACTGTGCCATACCGGGAGGTATTGGCGTCGACGTTGAACAATCTGCCTCTGCCTACGGCTTATGTACGTAGCTCCACAGGAGCCGGTGAACTGATGCCTACACATTGAAGTGGCTAGCACTGACAGTTTGTTCTTCGTACACGTGTTCACCATTGGGCAACTGGTATAAGTGATTTGCAGAGTGGTTGCATAAAATGTTCTTTCCACAGCCTTCATCAAACCGCTTTTGAGTACCTCATCTGCTGCACCTCTATTGAATTCCAAGCTCAAAATTCTGCTTTTTCTCCACATTAATAAGAGGCTAGTGCGTAGTATTCCGATGTAGGTTTCTATCTGTTTACCGATCTGGGCATCCATTTTCAATGAACGTCCATCGTAGAAGTTGAATACCGTCTTCTAAAGTGTGCGGAGTCAAAGTCTTTCGGATTCGAGAAGGAAGGAATTGGATTAAATCCTTTTTCGGCTGATGGGAACGCAGTTACAAAAGTTTTTTTTGTTATGTTTGCTTGGTGTGAAAGGTAGCCAACTAATTGTAGCAATAAATGGTTTTTGATGAGATGTTTGCAATATCGGAAACGTGGTGATTAATAGCACAAAATAGAACACTTAAATGGTCCATCATTTCCATTTGTTATTTCTGTTCCTAACACATTTAATCACCATCTTGTCTTCTTGTTTTCAAGCTATTCCCCACCATCTATAATATTGATGTAAAAAAAGCGTCATCATTTTATGTATTATCCGAGTAATCTTTCTTTTTAATATTGGCAGTGAAATGAATCACACTATTGAATCAGCTGACAAGGCATATTCTGCTCAGGAATACAGAGAGGTGCTTAAGATAGTCTTCTACGAACTTCAGGTAACTGTTTATGATGCAATAACTAGTGTCTTACGTCAAAATATCATGCTTAAGTAGACTGTAGCTACATTAGAAACTTGTGATTGGTGTTTATTAGAGTGGGTAATGCACACTGACTGTGGAACATTTTTGCTGTCTGCGTTTCAAGATTATTTGGCTTTTGGAATACTCTGTCATACTAGCATGACAATATTCTGTCTGATACTAATGACGAATGCCGCTTTTCAGTTTTTACAGTAAATTAGCCACAGACAATCAGTGCTTGCAAACGAATTGACTTCAAATGGAATGTAGTCCCTTTATAAATTTTTGCAACGTATGAAAAAGAAACGTTGTGGAATGAATCGAATTCATTTCATGTGTTTGCATATACTCACTGGATTTAAAAATTATATGCAGACAGATAAAATCAACCTAAAACCTCGCATACAGATGCATCAGTTCAAGTTGCTACACTTCGCGGCAGCATGTTAAGAAATAAATAGATAGAAAAAAACTGATATCAAAGTGCACAAAGGTGTATGAAAGGAGGGGGAATTCAAAACATCTATCTTCCGAAGGCGTCAAACAGTGAATATATTTTCGCCATTGTAACCTATTTTCAGTCATGTCACGAAGAGACCTTAACCAATAATTCCTGTCTTCTCGAGGATCCCAGTCAGGTGGTCTAGACCTATGTACACAGTTCAGACGAACAGTCAGAGATTTCATCCACTGGTGCCATGTCTTTGTCTGGTCATTGTGAGCCTTATTCCAACCTAATTCGACTTCTGCTACGATTGCACATCGAAGTAGGCGGTAACTTAGCATGCGCAATACGTGTCCAAGTCATCTCAGTGGATGAAGGTTCACAACCTCGTCAATCGACTTATCTGTCTATTACGCTTCGCCTGACGTTGACATTGCTAACATAGTAATTCCCACCATATACGAGTAATGGTGTAAAGATATCTATAGTCTTTTCATACCTACCACCATACAGTAGTATATTTTGAGGTTAATGGGGATTTTAATTTCAAGGTAGTATTCCACCACAGACTGATATCAGCTGAAGGTCCTGGATGTGTGCTACTGAGAAGTTCTGTACTAGGACGAAACCGCTGTCCTGTGCTCCCAGGTGTTCAATGGTTCTCTAACTGATATCAGTTCGTGATGAATACTACATCAAAATTTAAATCCCCATGAAGCTCAAAATGGATTAGTAATTTTTTGTTGTTCTTTTTGTACGCGGATGATTTTTAAAATGTACTTTTCTATGAATCTAAACCAATTCTAAAATTTGATTCAGAACACTCCTCAAACTTCACTGGAAAAAGTTATTGCCGCCGAATGTGTGCGATAATTTCACAAGAAGCGTATGTATTTGTAAGTCTTCATCGGTAGTGTGTTTCAAAGACAGTAAATTCTATTCAGTAAGAACATTAGAATGATTTTAATGTTTATCATCTTATGTTCACCAACAATATGGTTAAAACGTCCTTTTGTAGACTGACAAGTACAATTATGGAATATTCATGAATTCCCTTGCATGATCAAGTCCTGTTTGATCAATTGAGCTGTGACTCCTTGATTTAGGTAGTTGACTTTCAACCAATAAGTTATGGAATCGAACGCTGCTTCATGTACCAAGATTTAGGCAACCAGATAGTATCATAAGCCCTCACACAAAACTGATGTGTCTCATTATCCACTTATACGATGTGCAGAAGGTTGCTGAATGCATTTCGATTCGAATCGAATACTTGAAATCATTACAACTGTTTGATTTTTTCCCATAAAAGTAGAAAATATTCTTTTCTCCAACTATTCATATACAGACACATCGTGATCGTTACCGTGAAGTTTGTCAAGGCAGTCTACATATTGATTTAATTCGACGTTACATGGATGTTCAATTGTTGCTACTTTGTCCAATTTGTTCACATCTTTGTGAATATATATGGCTCAACTTGTTAAATAATAAAAAATCAATATTTTGTGAAACTTGGCCTAAGTTAAGTCGATCAGTAGATCGAGTACTTCTGTTACAAGGTAAATCTAGTTAACTTGTGATTGTTCTGTTTATTTTTTTTTTGAGAACTTCATATTGATTGTTAGTTTGTATGGAATGATTGCTCATTTTAAGGTTTGCTATTCTTACAACCTGCCCATAGAAATTGTGTCTGTTCCCATGCTTCAATTCAAGTTGTATAACTTTTTTGTGATCAACTGTAGACTGAAATAATGTAGCTCAGGAGAAATAACTTTGGTGGTGCTGTTGTCTCTTGACTGGTTAGTTGAGTCACGAAGCTTTTGTTGTCGTGCCAGACAACAAGCTTTCTGTAAAATTAGAATTCTTTTTTAATAAGCACGCGAAATACTGGGTGCTTTGACGTTTGTAGGGTCGTCCAATAAACAGTATGAACGTAATCAGTTAGATTCAAGCATTTTTTTTTCCTAAGTACGCGTTTAGGGCGGAGATAGCTAAGCATTTATCTGGATTTGACAGAAATGGTTATCGTAAGGAAACCTGACGTGATATTAAGTCCGCTTCAATAGCATCGGTGAAGACAGTCGGAAAATTTCATTCAGGGTTGTGATCAAATAGATGATAGATATTCTTTTACAAAATTGCTTCCTTTTCTCATCCCACTGAATATAGTTTACTCCATTTAAGTTATATTTCTCGTTCAGGTCGATATATTGATGATACAGCGCATGCTTTCAGACTTCAACTTAAACAGTATCAGACAGCTAAATTGCTTAAGAAGAGTAGCAAATCTGGTGAATCAAATTATACTTCTCAATGGATTCCACCTTCTGAAGCTATTATTTGGGTTGCTAAGGCGTATCCACCATGGCAAGTATGTCGTATGTTCCATTCTCTTACATTTACCAATTGATTGCTAGCTGTTTCTCCTGAAAAGTCTATTTTTACAATTTATTCTGAAATTTAGTACTTTTATGGTAGTTCTTTTTTCGTAAATTTCAATCGTCCACGGTGTAGGCAGCCGAGGAGTTTCAGGTGCTCCCTCCTCCATTGTATATGCTTTGTAGATTTCGAGTAACTGAAATATCCTCTGGAGTTTTTCAGCCCAACCGATAGCTGCTGCTTTGATATTGTAATCGAGCACGCTTATCACAATGATTCAGTGAGCTACACTGTCTGAAACGCTTTTCCCCCAAGGCCCTATCATACCAGAAAGGTATGTTGGATAGTGGTAAGACGAAAACCAGTCACTTTTGTAGTATAAATTGCCACATTGTGATTGGGGTCTCAGGGAGAAGTCGTTCTCTTGACTGGATGGGTGTGACAGCAGTAACGTGTTTCATTTAGATGGCAAGCAGTGCTACGCTGATGCTGCGCAAAGTGACGCACTCCTCCCTGCCGCGCAGGGTCTTCCAGTGCCGGTGGCATGATTTTTCTCTGTCTGGCATTCGAACAACCGAATGTGAAAATATCAATCCACAAAAGGCTGTATGTGACGCCTCAAGAGTAAATAACCTTCCACGGTGTAGGGAGCCGGTAAATGTCAACTGCGCGCATGGTCCCAGTAGTATTCTATAGGATTTCTTGACCTTTTTATTTGTGTTGATAAATAAAAATAAACATAAATTACTATGCGGATTTTTTATTTTCCAATTCATGATTATCATCTCTATTTAGGCTCAGATTCTTGAGATTATGGCTGCTAATCTTTCTGAGGATGGAAAAACATTACCGGATAACGCAACATTAGCACAACTTTTACGTCCTCATTTAAAAGCCATGGGTAAAATGGCGAAACGTGCTATGCCGTTTGTACAGTTAGTTAGGGAACGATTTGAAAACCATGGGAAACGAGTACTTCAACTCCAATTGGAGGTGGATGAGTGTGAAGTGATTACAAAGAATTTATCTTATTTGATCTCAACTTTGGGCTTGAGACAACCTGATGGTTTAAAGGTGAGTTTTTCGATTTGTCTTTGCTTTTTATTCAAATGTTATCCTCTGTCACTGAAATGTCAGTTTTCAACTGTTAAAATCTCAAAGTATTTTTGAAAAAAATTTTTAGTTTCTAAAGTTTTTTTTATTAACTCATTTTCATGATTTAAATGTGTTAGTGTCGATCCAAGCAATTTAATTCACTCTATGACTGTATGATATGAACGTTATAATTGATAGAAAACTCGAAATGTCTACAGATAGTATCTTCAGTGAACTTCTGTTATTTGGCTTGATTTACTTAGTGAGAATATCGTTGTTAGACTTGGAATTGCAGTTAAAGAGATCAGTTAGTTAGTAAAATTGTAGATCACTTCTGAGTAAACTGGTATGTTCATCATTTTCCATTATGTTAGCTTGGCGTAGCGTAAGTGGAAATAATTAATAGTGTTTCGGTCAAGAGGGTATCAATTTCGTTTTGTGGTTAGTAGAATATCAAGTTTTCGGTGTTGTTGCAACTCATAGTCGTTTGTGAAATAAGGCTATGATCCAAATCCATTATGCGATAGCTTGTAATACTAACTAAACTCATACACTTTGGAAGTAGAGGCTAGGTGATGTGACTGAGTAGTTTAGATCTATCCATATATTATCCTTATCTTGATGACATGACTTAAAATTGGTTACAATGGTGCAGATGTATTCACTCCTTGACGTCTTCTAAAGCTTGGATATTTTCACTGACCTTTATCTTGAAATTGCTTGTTCTACTTTGATATCATTCTTTTCTATCAGCTTGTTCTTTGTATGCGACTGTACAGTTCGGCAACTTAAACCGGTGCAATTGTATGTTGATTGATTCATCTGTCTGTCTTTTGTAGCGTTGCTTGGGTTTGATGAAATCGCCGTGTGAGCAATTTCGATGTCAGGTGAAGGGTATTAGGCAAGATGGGCAAGTTGATTGGTGATTATGAACCTTGGTTGACTGAAATGACTTGGACATGTGTTGCGCATCCCGAGCGACCGTCTAACTCGACATGGCATATTAGGGGAAGTTAGAAAAAGGTTCATGGTGGCGAGAACAAGGCGTGACACCAGTTGAAGTTCATGAATGTTGGTCTGAGCTGTGAAGGGAGATGTAGGCTGTCTAGCTGGTGTTCCCGAGATGATAGGAATCAGTTGTTGAGGACTGCTGATGACATGGCTGAAAATCGGTCAAAGTGGCGCAGGTGTATTCACTCTTTGGCATCTTTTAAAGCTCAGCAACGTGAGCTAATACGGAATGAATGTAAATCCTATCCTGATACTGACGTGCCGACTGACACCAGTAGATGTTGTGACTTACTCAATACTCACTGATCTCAGTCAACATCTCCGGAGTAATATCACAACTAAGCTAGTCTTCCAAAGAGTTTATCGTGTAGTATTCAGAATCAAAAGTTTATAAACATGTTTACAAATAGTTTAGATATTCTCTTCAGAAAAAATCCCCTAGTGACGACTATTCACCGATCAATAATCCTTTAGTGCGTAACTAAATGAAGTAACTAGTCAAGCAAACCTAGCAGTTTTGAAATGCAAGAACAGCAAGTTCGAGTTTCAATGTTAAATTTGGGTTGTTTGAATAATTTAATGGTCGCTGGTTCGAATCCGGTCGCGGTCCAGATTTCCATCCCACCTTCAGTCATTACCCAGTACAAATACTAGTCTGCCAAACTATGGCTATCTCAGATAGTCAAATGATAATTTAGTTTTCATTGCACACGGATTTAAACTTAATCAGACTTTTTATGCCTCATAAATTTCAAGAACTAGCCTTTTTTTGTAAAGGTATTCTATTAACTGTACCTTAATGTTGAAATTCTCCAATCTTCTTAAATGATTTGAATTGTTTTAGATTCACTACTCATGTGACTCAGAGGATAGTCGTGTTCAAGAAAGTGTTTGTCCTTTAGAACCTCTTATTATTTTCCGTGAACCATCTGCTTCAGTATCTATAACATTTCTAAACCCAGATGTTGGCTCAGGTTTATTTACAATTAATAGTCTTACTATTTGTGATGGTGATACGCATACTGATGTAATTTCACGTGTGATCAACCATTGTCGTTTATCTATGCCTGGAGGTAAAGGTAAGCTTCATTCCATGTGCCTTGCAAATTTTTTAAATCTAGATTTCTTCAACTTCAGTAGTTTTGCGTTTGAAAAGCAATTTTGTTAAATTTATTGCGAATGTATTTTTAGAAATTTATAACGCACAGGCTTATAACTTAAATTATTCGTACTTTAGGATGATCTGATAATGATTTAATCTTGGCATGAAACGAAAAGGTCATAAGCAAACAAAAAAGCCCGCATGGATGAATAACGGTAAAGTAGAATACAAGGAATAGCTTAATACTAGAGGAAAAGTATTCATTTCAGTGAAGTTTATAGAAGAACATGGTTCTTTACATATATAGTTCTAACTGGTCAATCTACGCCATAGCGATTAATGGGTTTTGATCGCAGATATCTTCTTAGACTCTCTGGCTGGAGTCCGTACGACGAAAAGTCAATGGTTGAGGACTCTGTCAGTCAAAATGGCGCGGATGTATTCACTCATTGACATCTGAAGCTTGAATATTTTCACTAACAGTTAACTTCAGATTTTTTATTATCTCACAGACACTTTTTTCTACTTTGATATCAGTCTTTTTCTATCCACCTGTTTTTTGTACACTACTGTGAAGTATGGCAACTTGAGCCGATGCACTTGTATGCGAAGTTCTGCGTTGATTTTGTCAGTTACCTCAGTTAAATGGAAGGTACGAGCAGATTCACTGCAGCATTGACTTACTGTGTTTGTCTAGGCTTTGTTCATCCACTTACCTTGCCCTCTGCTATTACGTAACTCTTATTTTCACAAGCCTTCGATTCATTTTTAAAAAAATCACTGCACATCACAGCCGAAGCCATATCAAATGCTTCAGACATCATAAACTCTTAACATGGTACTGACAAGTGGTGTATTCAGTAAACTTATATGTGTTGAGTATTAGGTCTAGTGTAGAGAACTTGACAAATGACATACGTTTTGGTGTTATGTATCACACTACTTATAAGTAGGGTAATATTTCGTCGTCTAAATAAATTACAGTGAAACGGTCTCGAGTAGCATCAAAATTCTCCATTGTGTTGCGTTCTCTGAGCTGGGTAGTTTAATTAAGAAGCTTTCATTGTCTTTCTATTCAACATCATCAGGACTAACTTTGTGTGAAGTAAGCTATCAGGATTTCTCCGTGAGTGTAACATTGGCTTGTCTTGACGAAGTGGTTTGTGATTGGTAGTTCCCTTTGTTGACTACATAGATTTGCCTGTTAGCTGTTTCTCTACCTGGTGTCTGACCTTGCAGTTGTTTATCATTTTTCCAATTGAATGATAGCCTAAGTCTATGTTTATACATCTATTGATTGCTGACTAGCCTGAATGCCAGGCTTCCCGGGATTCTCTAATATTGACTTGAGTTCTTGTCCATAGTTATCCACGTGTATTGATATTAGAGACGAAGTCTCGCCAGTTGGTGTTTATGTAAGTCCAATGTACTGCTGATCGCAATTGATTTCGTAAATAATGTTTGATTTGCCTCCTTTGTTTGTATACTTTGTTCTGCATAATATGGTTTAAAAGGAATTTCTTGGCGTGTGCAACACTAATTCCAAGTTGTTTGTCTCACTAATCTTGCCATGATCTCTGATCTATTCCTTGTAAACTATAAGATGATCCGTTTATTGATTTTCCTGGATGACTTTGTAGCTGATGATGAACGGGGAAGGCATTTTCTGATGAACTTTCTTAAATAGCTGTTCTTCTTTAGGCTAGATACCAAGTAAGTTCCTTCGTCCCTCTGTAAAACTTCAGTAGGACTATCTACAGCATAAGTCCCGAAGCTTGAAATCCAAGAAACTCTAAGGCAAAAGGTTGGGTTTTTTATTCATTTTCCTATAATTTGTTGGCTTCTTATTTTCCATGTGCTAAAACTTTTCATGATTAAGAATATAATTCTGTCATTATTGTTATCCTTTATGTTAGGCACAATCATTTGAGAGGTTTAAGATAGCCAGTTCAGTTATAAAGCGAAGTAGAAAGATACTATGTGAATGTAAGACGTATAAGTTCACATCTTGAATATATATATATATATATATATATATATATATATTCACGTAGCCTCTTTAAAATTGTGATTGTAGGCAACACAGTTCTTCTGAAATAGTAGAAATAAAGAGTACTTTACCATCTCTTTCTTAGTGTAGAAAACCTCAAACTAATACTAAAAACAAGTAGGTGAATACTAGACTTGCCTTAGAAATGGTGACCGTCTCATATTTCTTATTTATAAGGCTGCTATTGTATTTCGTTTCAACTAGAATGCATGTGTATACGTGAGAACTTTGTCTACAACACTATCAAAATACTTTTGAATTCTTCTCACATGACATTTTATGAACGGAACGTCTTTTTGTATTCACTTGTTATTTATATGGCTCTGTTTGTTTTATCAATCAATAAATGTTCAAGACCACCGTCATCAATAACAAAATTCATCATTGGTCTACAGTGGTTATACTTATTCCTAAAGTAAAAGCTGAGGTGGTTCACCTTGAAGACACGATTTCTCCCCCTATGTGTTATATACTGTCTAACAGGCGACTTGTGTTTAGTTACGACTTCCGAAATCATTTGAAACAGTAGATTGAGTTTTTGTTGCATCTTTGTATACACACATTATCCTCATCTTAACAACGCCATACCGAATCTCACCATTTTGTCGCTCCTCTTTCCTTTCTTCTCGTACTTTATATTCTTTTGACTGCATTCACTTATCTTCATTCTTCACCTCACTACCTTTCTATTTGATGAACTGACGTGAGATGTGGCAACTTGGACCGTTACGCAGTAATGCCTGGTCCTATGTTGATAGTGATGATGATTGTTGCATCTTAGAAGTCCCAATAAAATATCCGTTCGTAGACAAAATTATCATCAAACAAAAGATTTAATCAACTGAGAAGTAATTATTGTGTCAATTTGTTCTGCTTACAAATATCTCTCTGTCGATGTTATTCATCTGTTTTATCATGTCATAAGTAATCACCTTATCGCTTTTATTGTTTTCTTTTTTGTAAAGAGTTGAAGAAAATATCATTGTATCGTTTTACTGATCCTGTGTATGGTCCTCTACGTATCCCTCCTTACTCTCCGGACAGTTTGCAAATAATTCAACCAACCGTTCGTTTTATAGTTGATGCATCATCGTACTCTGTAAACTTACAAGTTGATGATTCACAAATTCCAATCGGCACGAAACTTATCTACACAACTGTTACATCGTAAAGGATTTTTTAATGCAATAAAATCTTGTACTCAGAGGAGACTTTTTTGAGTAGTATATGTTCCAAGTTGATAGATGTTGCCATAAGATGTCTCCTGTCTGACTGTTGGAATTTATGATGGATTCAAACTGTGAGATTGGTTAACATCCTCACCTACATCTTACGTGGTAAGTGATGGATGACAACACAGAGACATTTTTGCGAATATCTAGATTCAGTATGTACACGCTAGTTCCTTCTAAATGGTTTTTGGCTTAGTTAGTCCGCATATGATATAAATTTTGGGTTGGAAAATCACCTATGTAACCAGCGTCGCCATCATAAAACTTAAAAAACTGCTACCTCATAAGATTGAGGATAGGTGATAACAAACAGACTAATCATTAATGAACGTCTCATAACAATGCATTGATTTAAGTTGCCGCAACAGTGAAAGTCGATGATGTTTAAAGATATTATTGTATGTCAAATAGCAAAATAGGTTAACAAAAGAATTTTCAAAACTTGATGGTATTCTATATTCATCTGCTTCAACCCGTGTCATATGGTCTGTAACCATCGATTAGCAATTAGTTGGGGGTGTCCCATCTGGTAACCAATACTGTTGAGAGACTTCACGAAGTGCTACTGTCTTTTCCAGGCTACCCTAACTTCTGATATATTACTAACATCGTGGTAGGTGAGTTTTCAGGATTGCCAGCACGTATTCAAAACATATGAGCCTTTCAAAACTGTGGTGACTTGCTTTTCTTGCTTAGTAAAGTCTTAGCATTCCTTACATGGTGGTTGAATTGCATGCAAGCAGTGCTGCGGAGGTGCTTATGAACTACCCTCAGTAGCTATTATCAAACAGTGCGGACTGCTGCGCAGTACATTCCTCCTTTGATTTACAGGTTAACATCTTATTAGTATTCTCTTAGCTGTTCGTCTATTATGGGTGATGTAACTTGTTGAATAACTGAAATGATCAACCACTTCACTTTCCTTAAAAAATATATGGTGAAAATTATTGGATCGTAGCGCCTTGTACTTAAGCTTACTCGTGGGTACTATCCTTCGCCGTTATTGTGAGCTCAACTATCCTTAACTGATAACAATGAATAGTCCCTGGATCAACCTGTGCAGAATTTACAGCTCGTAAACAAGAAAAGCTCATAACATCAAAGTAGTAGACGGGAGCAATGAGTTCATATCTTAATGTAGTCTGGAAGACAGTTCAATCCTTCTGATAATGACAGATAACCTGTTGTAGTGTTACTGTATGCAAGCACGAAAAGGAATCCTTTCACTTGCACACACATGAATTAGCATTAACCGACGTGTCTATCGTCTAAATAAAACCTATAAATGTTCTTGTCTTGTAGCTTAGGCAGTCGGTAAGCGTTTGCAAGAGGAATTGTGCTGACGGCATTTTCCGTCTACGGTTGGCAAATGCAAAACATAGTGAAGGAAATACCGAGTAAATTAGAATTTAGGTATCAGAATAGCCAGTGGAACCGAAAGCTACTGCAAACCAAGTAACTACTCACTTTAAACTTTTTTATGGCTTTACTCAGATTATTGGAAATTATCCTACTGATTTAGAGCAGTTTTCTGTGGGAAACGTTACATTACTTCTGTTAAAATATTCATCAATAAATTACAATATTACTGCTTTGTCAACATGTCATGGGTGACATTGATATTCAACACAAATATCTAGATACAAAAGGTGATTATTCCTTTTGAAACGTTTAGTGATTCAACATGGCCTAAGAGCAGCAATTCAAAGACGTATAAACTAGTTAAAGAGAGTACACTCATATCAGTTGAAATCATACAGCTCCTGTTATGAGAACACAGACCAAATGAGAAAACACCAAAAGTCTATGTTACTTACCATCTACCACTTTATTTTCACCTTAAGCAAAGATATCTTGGGTTGGAACATTTCTCAAAAATAAGTCTGAAAGCTGCTTATTAGGAGATCCCTCCTAATCAAGCTTCTGGCAAGTAGATTATTATTATTATTCCTTTGGGTTCCTAGTGGAACATAGGGCTTCAGTAGCTCCCCTCCATTGCACTCTGTTCTCTGCAGTCTTTTCAACCTGGTGCCACGACTGCCTACAACCTTTCATTTCTTCCTTGCACCATCTCCTCCATGCAACCCTCGGGCGCCCAACTCGTCGCTTCCCCTTTGGGATCCGCTCGGCGGCCTGGCGCGTGATGTCCCCAGTCGACCTTCTCAGTGTATGCATAGTCCATCCCCACTTTCTTCTACATATTTGTTAGGCGATGGGTTCTTGGTTGGTTCGTTACCAGAGTTCCTTGTTGCTTATTCTTTCTGGCCATCTGATCTTCAGTATTGAGTGAGCGTAGGCGGCAGCTGTTGATGAATGTCTGTAGTTTGTTGCAAGTGCTTTTCGTGACACGCCTAGTTTCTGAACCACATAGCAGCACTGAAATTGTTGAAGATCTGGATCTTGTTCTTTATGCTGAGTGCAGTAGATCTCCACAGTGATTTCAGATTAATGAAAGCCTGTCTTGCTTTCTCAATCCTGGTTTTGACATTCTCGCCTGTAGTTGAAACGATGCTGCTAGGTGAAAGAGACTATTTCCTTTAGGTTTCTCCCGGTAATGGTGCTTGTCGTTGATGCTGTTGTTGGTTGGGTATTTTCACCACCTCTATCTTTTCTATGTTCACCTGAAGTTCCGTCTTCGCTGTCCTACCTCGCCTCTTCTGTCAACTTGTTAGTTTTCGCCTGTAGATCTTCGGGTTTGTGCGACATTAGATATAAATCATCGGCGAAGTCCAAATCTTCTAGGCTCTTTCCATCGGTCCAGCGTATGCCCTCCTCACAATTTGCTGCATGATCCAGTCCATCATGATCAGGAAGATCATGGCAAATAAATGGCTGATTATAATAGACTATTTTATATATATATATATATATCCCTGCCTATTGGTTAGTGTCACATCTAGCTTTTCACAAAGTAATGGATCAAATGGCAGTCCAATTAGAAGCTGTAGAATTGTATCAAACTGGTGTTAAAATTCACGAAACCTGAATATCATAGTGAACGTGTTTCAGAGCTGCGGTTGAGTATCAGTGTATCAAAATTGATTAGTGCGTAAGATACACGGCAGATTACAGTTGGGTAGGTCTAATATTAGTCGTTTGGCTTCACTGATCCAGACACCTTTGTTTGTTGTTATTTTATCATTGAAGTAACGATTTGCACGTTGCAACTCAACCCATAATTTACCACCTAAAACTTTACACAACTGTCTTTACTTTCCGAATTTATTTCAAGTAACTAATTTATGAGGAAACAGCGTCATGAAGCGTTTCTGTCAATCACTTTCAGGATTCTAAATTCTCAGATTTTTTGATACGTTTCTCAAGAAAAGACAGACCTTTTCTTGTTCGATAGTTGTAGCTACAGTAGTACAACAGGATGAAAACCTTATTACCTTTATTTGAAGATGCCAGGGGGTGGACAGATATTTCCAGATGTAAAAGGAGACATAAATGTCATCTAAGCAGTAATACGTCTTCACACATATCTGTCTACAACAGAGTTTCATTTCCTGACTGACCACCAGGCTTTGGATTTTTCACTATCCGGATAAGCCATGAAACGGACGACCTGCTGCTGTCGCTAAGAGAATACGTATGTACGTATCACTGAATGCAGACATGCCAAGGAAATGCACACTTATCGCGTTATTTATTCTTCTAGAGCTATCCTACTGGTACTGATAGTTTGTCTGTTGAACTATTTCTAAATTATGGATAACGACCGGTACACAAAAGCACTATGAATGTATTGTAAATGTTATGAATAAAGATGGGGGTACTCAGTACAACTAAAGACCCGCTGAATTTTGTATGCGAAGAGCTGGAAAATTATTACGTCCTGCAGGATTTTCGTACCTAAGTGGTGAATTCATTATTATTTCCACATTCAGAGCTGATCTTAATTATGCCCACTTGTCGGCTAAAGAGGAATGAACCTCCTTAAACCGGTAACCGCATTACTTTCAGGCACTAGTTTTGTCAGAACTCACTGCTTTTGTGGTGCACGTGCGCAATGGTACTAGTTCCAACGTGAATCGGATATCACCTGTGCTTGACCAGAATGTTACGAGCCTTATTCTAACCGATAAGCGTCAGCTGAATACACGTCAACGACAGGTACCCAAAAGATAACCACCACAGGATTTAAAAATATCTAATTAGTCAAGTTATTCACTGTCCAATGTATATGAGCAAATTCACTTTCAATATTAACGTGATATTGATACATGCAGTATTCGTTAAGAAACTTGAATAAAGTTACATGGGGTATACAACAACATCATTTAGGATAATTTCGTTTATCATAACAGAATTTTAGTTTCACCGGCAGAATCATCTCGCCTTATGCTTGAACTCGAAAACTGGGCAGTCTTCTTGACAAAAAATTTCTTTTAAACCACCAAAACTACCTCTTTTAGCCATCCAGATTTCCCGGAGCTGGTGGTTCCCAGACGTCTCGACTGCCCATCCGCTTACTTTTCGGCTGTATTCAGAGGTCACTCCCTTGAAACTATCTCCCCTCAATTTATGTACTTGTAGTGCTTAGCAAACTCGGTCATGAATTTCTATCCTTTGCTAGCTCTGAATTCACCACTAACCTATATTGAATGATGAATAACTTTTAATGTACTTATTCAAGTTTACACGCTTCGCTTGCTTACTAGAGTGCTGAAAATAAATACGTCGTGCTACTGTTCTTGCTTTTTAAGTTGACTGTCTAAAGTAAATTGTTCCAAACTTTAGCTGTAAGCATCAGGTCTAACATACTCATCTGCAGCCGCTAGTCAAACTTGCTAGCCAAATGTAGAAGATCAAGTGGAAAATGTATAGGAGTAAGCCAACGTAAAGCTGTCTGCCCTCCACTTCTTATACCTTCACTGCTTTTACGACCGCTGGTTTTGCTACCACTGGTGTAGCTACCGATTTTCTTGACAGTGTTGTGGTGGTTTAAGAACCTCAGTATCAGGGATTGACAAAGATAACAAAGTCCTGCAACAACAAGGAAATGCTTTCGGCCATGACCACTCCAGCTGTAGTTCAATGTAAGTAGTTGGATAGCAGATTTCCAATGTCTTAAGAAAGGGGTAGTTCGTGGTAACACAGGCACGCATATCAGTTACGTGTACGGTTCATAGCCGTTATATTTTGCCAGAAAGAAGTCGCGACATCAACTGAACATTATTAGAACATTAGGATTATTGCTCGTATACAAGCAGTAGTGCTAAAACTGTGCTT